AAGAAAAAGAAAACTAAAGAATGAAGTGTATGTATCTGTATATTGCTCAAGAATTTCCCCCCACATTACAATGGTTTTCGCTCTCTATTTATAGTTACATGATTCGTAACCGAAGTCGTCTATCAAGCCGCGGATCTCGCCTTTATCATTGCTTCCGTTTCGAATCTTCATAACCTCGCAAATCCCGTGCGACCCGCGTCTCATTTAATTCGCATGATCCCGACGTTTCACCCGAACTAGGCTGGAGCTTACTGGGCTGTCCTTTTCGTCCCTTGGACTGGGCCGACAATTCATTTCATCTTATTGATCCATTATCTTTCCGGGCCGGATCCGAATTGCGGGATCCGACACCAACATGTTGGTCTCACCAAACTTTGAAGTGAGTGATTGAATTTTTCGTAAATACTATTCAGTAGTTATGACGTGAAGGAAAGAAATTGAATTCTATGTGTGGCTCGTGTGGGCCTCATGGAGATAAAATCATGCCAAATCATATTTCTTGATTTGGTTTGTTAATTAGCTCTTCTAACATCTAAACAAAAACATTAATACTCACCAACACGTAGTTAATTACAATGTCAATTTTGGCTAGAGCAATTTATTACGAGAGCTTTCCGTGTTGTAACTTGTTTATATATAAATTTTTTTTGAATAATATGGTTGTGTTGATCAGTCTCTATCTTTCTCATGATGCTTTTCGTGGGTGCCTAATGAATAAATTGCATAAGACCTCTTAAATATTTGGGGGGTCTAAGTTTGTTTTGTATAATATTATACAAAAATGTGTTCTTAGTATATTTTTTTCCTTGAATTTAAAATTCAAAGCATTAATTATGTGGAACTTTATAAAAACTTTAAACATTAATATCAAGAGTACTAGCTTGTATATTTAAAGTTTAGTTAAAGAGTAGTATTTAACGTTGTATCTGGAACTTTAGTTACTTAATTTATAAAATATGAACCACCGCTTTTTTAAAACACGGGAAGTATCGACTGAACCACAACTACTACAAATTTCACTACAAAATTCTAGAAGTGTTGTCGTGTGTTGATTGAAAAGTGTTTTTGAAATTCGTTTTCGAAAAAGTGTTTATGAAATTGCACGAGCTTTGATTAAAATAAATGTTTCTTTTGGTCAATAGTTCTCACTTAACGCAAGAAGAACAAATACTAGTTGTCTTCACGTGATCTTCCGACAGATTCAAAGTTTTTAATTAGTTGGGACATCCCCAACTAACTGTAAATATATTTTTCTCCCTCATCATCGTTTCTTCTTCGGTACACGTGGCAGCCACGTGAACCACTCGATAGCCACGTGATCGTCGTCATTTGGTCTGCAAATTAAGCCCAATATAACCCAGCAAGGGCCCATATAAAGTCAGCATATATTGATCTAAGCTTTTGAAATTCCGATCCATTAAATCAAATCGGTTCTCAACCGGTTAGATTTGTTTATTTTCCGGTTTATGTTTATTAAACCCTGGGGCCTGAGCTGCTGCTATATCCTTTCTCCGACGGCGGAACTCGACTATACATTTATTTTCTCTCCCTCACTCTCTTCGTAGTCTGAGACTCGCCGGAAAAGCTTGTTGATTTGGTTTCTCTTCGATTTCCGGCTAAATTTCTGGTGGAAGTAAGGATTTTCACGTGAGCTATGAAGTTCCTCATTCAATCCATTTCTGGTATGCTTTTATCGACTTTTCATCCTTGTGGCTAACTAATTAGATAGATCCCATTTTGCATCTGTCATGAATCGATCTTCATCCATGGCTACTTTTGATTCAATCGAAGCACATTTGTCATTTCTTATGTTTGGTTTTTGATTCGACGGAAACAGGGAGGAATCGATCTCTGGTTCGAGCTCTAGTTAGTCGGCGTTACTTCGCTTCATCGCCGGAGGAAATCGCAAAGAAAAATTACGCCAATGATCTGTCGGAATACAACACCGCTGTCCATTCCGTCACAGCTCAGCGCAGGTTTTGTCCCCCATTATTTGTATAGCTCATTGTTTCATAACATAACATAACATTGATGGATTTACTACGAATGTGATGAGATTGAGAAACTTTTTGCCATAGTAATATATAATTGGTTACTTCATTGGTTCATGAGTAAATATGATAAGCTTTTTTTTTTTTTGGGTAGGCACTATTTGCTGAGGGATGTTTATGATGATATGAAGCTAGATGGTGTGCAGCCTACAGCTGATATATTCCATTCTTTTGTTGTGGGAACGATGAAGGGTGCTCGGTTAAGCGATGCTTTCTTTTTCCGTGAAGAAATGAAAGCCATGGGAATTGCTCCTGATGTATGTCCTATCATCTTGTTCTCTTTTGCTCTTACATTACATAGAATAAACTCTTCTTGTTGATTTATGTTCCTAAGAAAAAATATAATATTGAAACTTTAACAGCTGATTGAGCGATTCCTTGTCCAATGATTTAGACTCTACAAAATGAGTCGGTTCATCCCGTGGCTTGTGTTTGTTGACCATGCGTTCATTCTTGTAGGTGAACTTGTACAACTTTTTAATTTCCACATGTGGTAAATGCAAGAATGGAAAGGAGGCAATCCGAGTATGTTTATCTTCCACTTGCTTTAATATGAGACTTTTTTCTTTTTTACATTCCTTGATTTTCATTCATTAACGAACTTTTTGTTTGCGTCTTACTGTAAGGTCTACGACGAGATGAAGCGATATGATGTAAAACCAAATGGACAGACCTTTGTCTGCCTGCTCAATGCCTGCGCTGTTTCTGGCCAATTAGATCTTGTGTAGGTTCTACTGCTTTTATTGTCTTTTGAGTGCTCACTAATCGAAATGATTTCCTTTTATAAGTTTTATGCCACTTTTCTCTGTTTTAATTAAGTTCTTGGTTATCTCTTAAGTGCTATCTAAGAAGTGGTGATCTAATCTTTTTCTTACCTGCCATCAAATAATTGTTAGGTACGCGATAGTTCGGGATATGACTGCTGCTGGTGTTGGTTTGAACCAGTTCTGCTATGCAGGACTCATAACTGCACACTTAAACAAGCAGCCAAGACCAGATAATCTTTCTACCAAGGTAACCTGTGAGGTTCCTGTTTATTTTTCCTTTTGTTTTTTCTTAAAGTAGGTTTCCTCACAGCCTCCTTTTTTCTCAAAAGATTCTCGAGTTTGTGGAGCAGTCAAAAGGCTGGTCAGCAATTGATTCATCAAGGAAGAGTGCAGAAGATGTGATGTTTAGCATCAGTGAAGAAGAGCTGTACAATATTCCAACCGCTGATTATGCCCACAGGACCAGGTTTCTGCAGAGGAATTTGACCGTCTACCACGTAGCATTCAGTGCTCTCGCTGATATAAAGGATGTAAAAGTAAGATGATCTGTCTATCTATATTCCAATATGTCCTGAATTTATTGGGAATTTTCTGTTCTGGGAGTAACAAAAGCCCAGTTTCGGAGTTGATTTTTGCATCTGACCAGCTTTTTCCTGTGGCAGGCAACGGAAGCTCTTCTTGAGATGCTTAAGAAAGACGGAAAAGACACTGACACTTACTGCGTGCTACAAATTATGAGGTACAATAGAGCATGCACTGTGATGTTAATTTGCATCTAGATGTTAAAACATTTGGCATTGTCATGGGTTAAAAGACACTCTTTAGCTACCAAATTAAATTTTGTTACTAGTATAATACATTATTAGCTGTCAATGAGAATCAAAACATGATTATCGTATATGCATCTTATTTTATATCTACGTAGGTGCTATCTACACTCGCAAGACTTTGAGAATGGTCTCAAAGTGTTTGAAGATTACATGAGCGCAGACAAAATCCCTGCCATGGAACTCTACACGGTAACACGATTATCTGACCTCATCACTGGTGTTTCTATATTCGCTTTGAGAGTGAACTTCTTGTTCTCTATATACCGTGTGGGAATCAAATCTTATATAAAACTAATGTTGTTGATTCTCAATCCTAAAACCACGCAAATGAATATAGAGATGAATCTAAATTCTCAAAAAATGCAATAGTCGAAGAGAATTATGCTTCTGTCCAGTTTCCCATATGTGGTTCAACATATCTTTGGGTGATCTGTATATGCTGTATCTTTGGTTCACTTCTACAGACGCTTATAGAAGGAGCTATGACAGGACACACCGATAATGGAATGAAGATTGCTCAAGACACTCTGGTAATGCTTTTTTATTGGCTCGAGCTGTACTGAAAAAAGAATCTATGAAGAAAACAAAACACGGGTCAATGGTAGAGCCTGATGACAATTTGTTTGTAAATGCAGGTCAAAATGAACGAACGCAATTTCTTCTTAGATCCAAGAACTGGAAGCAATCTGTTACTCAAAGCCGCTGGTGAAAAGGTAAAAATCTTCAAGTTCCCCTAAAAACTCTGAAAATTTCTGTTGTTATAAAGAGTTGGCTTAGTGCAAGTTAAAAAAAAAAAAACTCTTTCTTTTATGGCAGACGGGAGGGTACATAGTTGCAAATATGATATGGGATCTGATGCTAGCTCGGAATATTCTACCAACACTAGCTGCTGTTGAAGCTTACTACAAGGGCTTGAAAGTAAAAATAAAAATCCTTTTTCTCTAGTCTTAAAATGTAAGCACAAACTTTCTTTCTATTGGTATTAGTTGTTGATGGTTTTTGTGGTGTGGGAATCATAGGAACGTGAAATACCAGAGGATGATCCAAGACTGATGTTAGTGACGCGTACATACAATAACTTGCGGCTTAAGGAAGGGACATTACCTAATAGGCGTTAATGCAAGGGACCAAGAGGAAGAAAGATGATATCATGGCTTCTTCGTTTTCTACTTCTATTTGCTTATTGGGATCTCTGTAAAACATCTGGGTAGATTTTAAAACCAGTTCGTTTAGATGAATAAGGAGATTTCAACTAGATGAAGACTGGATATTATCCTGATTTGATTTCAATTACTTAACGTTGAGAGTTTTCACTCTTAGTCATGCAAAAGCAACAATGTTTTAAATAAGCCCAACGTCTGTTTGGTTTATAAAGATCAGGCTGTTCACTCTCAAATGTACCGGTTTGGGTTTTTTTGATAAAGACAAACTGGAAAATAGAGAAAAAAAAAAAGAGAAACTATACATTCTGGTGTATCCATTTGCAGAGGTAAATAAAAGCAATAGTAGTTTCTGAATCACCAGATTACAGCAGATATGTGAGACTGTGACACCTCTCGAGGATTTTTTAACCACAACAGCCTCCTCCCTGAGAGATCGTACCATCTCTTCCTCCAGCTGCACCTTGAGTGCGCCCGTAACCAACCTTGATGCCTGACGACTGCATAATCACATTGTAACACAATCGAGGTATTAGAACACCAGAAGATGAAGCCTACTTCCAGATTTAACAAGGAAATTACCTCGTTGGATACATCAAAGACACCATCCTGAATGTTCTGGAGGATCTTGGCAGCAGTCTTTATGAATGCCTGTTGGAATATATATGCGAAATGTTAATCCAGTAAAAGAAGACAAAACTCTCCATGTGATTACAGCCAAATAACAGGATGGGGAAGAAGTGTCACCTCCTCAACGTTTTGAGCTGTTCTTGCAGATGCTTCTAAGAATAGCAGGCCATGTTCTTTGGCAAACTGTTCTCCTTCCTCTTTGCTAACAGCTCTCTTGTGAGCAAGATCACATTTGTTCCCAATGAGCATAATACTCATGTTAGGATTTGCATGTTGCCGAGCATCCTCCAACCAGCTCGCCAGATGGTTAAACGTCTCTCTCCTGCAACCAAAAGAAGCATGACTTTTGAGTTTTGAGGGCAGAAAGATCAAAGCATGAAAAACCTTAATGATAAAACTCTTGCAATCCTTCTTAGTAAGAATTTAAGATGGATGGTTAACTTAACATCCTCCTTAACGAGCATTGCCAATATCATAGCCAAGAACTTTGTTCAGATCAAAAGTAACTTCCCAAAACATGTATCTATACGAAAAGTCCTCGGGAAATACCAATTTCCAAAACCTTGCCAACGGTTCTAGGTTTATCAGTTCACGAATATAGAACCAATGACTTCCAAAACCTTGGTGGGGAATTCAGTATATATATGGTGCAAGGCAAAACTAACCTGGTGATGTCATAAACCAGTAAAGCTCCAGCTGCTCCTCTGTAGTATGATCTGGTGATGGATCTAAAAGACTCTTGTCCAGCCTATAACATCACACTTGGTTAAATCATAGACAGCATCATAACAAAATTGAATCACAAGGCACAAAAACCAAACGTAAACCAACTCCAACCCATACATCATCCTGAGGATTTTCAATTGTTTCTATAAATACGCAGAAATTGAATTGATTATGAGAAATAATCTTCTTAATCACATGTGCCTTAGGGTAAAACAATCCTAATCGATAAAACCAAGAGAACCTAATAAAGACCAAGAGAACCGTACGGTGTCCCAAATTTGGAGTTTGATGGGGCGTCCATCGACGGTAACCATCCGAGCACCGAACTCGACACCAATGGTGAGATCGTGGACTGGTTGGAACCTCTTGTCAGTAAATTGCAGAAGCAGACACGATTTTCCTACACCTGAAACGACAAGAAAAACCCATGAAAATCGATCTAACCTAGAAAATCAAAAATTGGGAATGAAAAAGATAATGATCGGTCTCTCACCTGTGTCTCCGATGATTATGTACTTGAAGAGATAATCGTACGACATGTTGGCTGATGAATTTGAGCAAGGTCGATGATGAATTAGCGCAGGTCGATGGGTTCGATAATTGAGAGAGAAGGAGATGTGAGAGATTGAAAGAGAGGAAGAAGAGATTGAAGAGTACAAGTCACCGACGCGCTTTTTGATTTTATTGGTTTTTCGAGGTTTCTCGATGACGAAGCTATCTCCTCGTGGGTTCTCATCCTTTTATGACCTTTTAGTTAATTTATTAAAAAATAGAGGGACCAGATGAAAAATATCTGGGAAAAAAAAGAAGGAAAAATTATCTCCGTTGATTCGTTTTGATGTATCATCAGATAGCAGTTGATTTGATTATGTCAGTTTACCTCTCACAGGCTAGTGTAATAAATTTATATATACTATGCATTGCAAAGCTGTCTGACTGTTATGTTTCTTGCCCAACAAGAAGCTCTTGTTGTAGTCAAATCCTACAGAGTATGAGCACAGTTTTTTTGCTGGAGAAAGGCAAGCCTTTCGAATGCCGTATGTGTACACACTACTTTAAGGTAAGCCATAAGCTTGCTTATATATATTATCCATGACTACAAAGCTAGGTTCGACTTTATACCATTCTTAAACAATTATGTCCCATTGAATTGAAGGAATAAAATACCACCAATATGATATCTTTTTGGCATCTACAATAACAGAGCCTAATGGTTTGTGATAAACAAATAAGAACAATTTAAGATCAACTATCAGAAATAGATTTCGAGGGTTCATCAAAACAAGAAATAGAGTGAGACACTTAGTCTTTTATAGGTGGAGATAGAGGTGGGAAAAAGTAAGGTACGGGGCAAGTGAAAGGTCTACCGAGCTTGTAATTATTGTCGATACTTACGATGCCACGATCGTGGTCGCCCAAGAAATAGACACTGTTTTTGCTTCTGCCGTACAAGCTAGCCGGGAGGCAGAAAGGTTCAGCCTTGGAGAGGAAAATGCAGAGATCTCCAATGTCATTAGTATACTCAGCATTTCCTTCTTCGTCTAGCCTCACGACAAGGAAATGGTCCCAATCCTTACAAGTCTTCCTAATGGGTCTGCTTTCCGTGTACCACTTCAACATAAAAGTCTCACCTGTGGGTAACGACTCCACCAAGTACTGTTGCTTCCTGCAACACGAATCCAATCGCAACAACTCGCTCTTTGTCATTTCGGGATGTGGATTATGGGGAAACTGTAGCATCTGCAGCTTGGGTTTGTGAATGTGTCTCCCAAGATCCCATGATCCTGTGTAGTGGGCTCTAGAGGCGGGCATCGAGAACATGTCATCTCTCTTGGAGTACATTACATGGGAGGAGAAGAAGCTGGGATCTGTGATTCTGATGTTAGTCCACTTGCAATTTCTTTGAGCAGGCCTGCACAAACTGAGTTGAGGTCCCATGAACTTGATAGCCACAATGCAGTCTTCATCCTCCGGAGAAGAGGTGGACATGGCTACATTGGTTACGATTTGGGTTTGGCAGTGAGGCAGAGTTACTAGAGGAGGCAGCGAAATTCGTTTTGGGTCTGGGTGTGTCTCCCATGCACATGGGTCTAGAAGATCATCTTGAAGACGCACAACGCCATTCTTCAAAGTTGCTACCCAGCCATGGGATGCTCCTATGGTTCCTTTTTCCTTGAGTAACTCCATAGGCACCAATTTTTTCGTAACCCTCTCGGTACCACCAAGAGCACGAATCTTGAGATATCCGATATCACCTTCAATTAAAGTAGATCCCCATGGTTCTGCACCCACGATGTAATAGATGGAAGAAGATGAGAAGCACCTAGCCGTGAGGTGTCTCTGCGGAATCATTAGTTAGTTACTGATCAGACATCAAAACTGAGAAAAAAAAAACACCATCCGAGACCAGAGAGAAGAGGAGGCATCAGCTTACCCGGAGAGATAGCTTGGAGAGAGAGAACCGGCTGAGAAACAGAGACATCTGCGTTTTTTTTTGCTAAGAGGTGATGAATATCTTTTCTCTATTAAATACAAAACAGAGGATTACCCTAATTCTTCTCCATCAAGTCTGTCCTTGTGCACTGATTGACTTTCCTAATAACAATCAAAGTGAATTTACACTAGAGTTATGAATTTGATTCTGTTCTGAAAATGAATATTCTCAAATTTCTTCACTTAAGTTTTTTATTCCGATCTACTAGTGTTTACTAAAATAACAGAATTTTTCCGGAAATATAAACAGTATATTTAACACTTATTGAAATCCTATTAATCACAATTCATCATGCCATTTATTATATTTATTTTTATGTTTAAAGAAAAGGAAAAGAAAAAATATGTGATCAAAAAAGTTTGAGAGGAAGGAAATGTGAGTGAAAAAAAAAAGAATGGAAATTTGAAAACAGTAATCAAATTCTTTATTCGGAATCAAATTCTTGATTCGTAGTATCGAAGAAAAAGTAGAGGAGAAAATTGTGAGGGAAAAAGAAAAAAAAAAACATTAGAAGGGATTAAAAATGTAAAACTCTCTCGAACGTGCTTCAAAATAGGTTTGATTAAAATGGAAATATTTGGCAGCCATGATTTAGGAATATTAAAGTCTAATGAGTACAATAATTCCTTTTTTTATTATTTGGAGAAAATGGAAATCAATTGCAGGTACTAGTTAGCCGCAAAACATTAACAAAAAAAAAAAAAGGAAAATAAACACTTCTTGTTCTCGTAAAGTTTGAAAACCAAATGAAAAATGGAAAACGGGATTTTATGGAATGGTCTTTAAATAGTAGGTTCGATCGAGCCAAAACCACATCTTCGTCTTGCTTCTAAGTTTCAGAAAAAAATTCCCTCTTCTTGCTTCTTGCGTTTAGGTTTCGAAACCATGAGTGCTCACTATTTTTTCACACTATTCAGACATGCAGTCCTAAAAGCGGCAGCTAAAAACGTCGCAAAAGAGGAGCTATGCAAGCTTGGAGCTGAAGCGGTTGCACAAAGAGTGACAAGGTGCCCAATAACATCTAAAATTGCGTATGACACTTCAGCTTTCGACTACAAAAAATACTCTCACAAGATTTCTTTCAACATGGATGGTTGTTTAACGTATCTCGTGAACGAAGAAAAAAGTGGGGTGGTTGAAGAAGCAGAGATTGAAAAGGTGAAGGCAATGAACGCAAAAGAAAGGGAGCGCTTTCTCGCAAAGGTTAATAATGAGGTAGACATGGCACGTAACAAGGCAAAGAAGGAAGCCGAGGAAGAAGAGGACAAAATATTCGAGGAGGGAAGACAGAAAGCAAAAGCTAAAGAGACGGGAGAAAACAAAGAAGAGGAGACGAACAGAGTTTTCAACAAGTTCATAGACGGTGTCGTGAAGAAGATCCCTGCTAAATCAACAATTGCTGATGGTCTAAAGGGTGCCTCCTGGAAGAACCTTGCCCATGAGGCTGCATTAGGGCTAGTAGATGATCCGGATTGTTTGGTTTTTGAAGACGACATGGAGAATAACTCGAATGTGTTGTCCTTTGTGGGAGATGATGATAAAATACACAAATTTGTGGTGAAGCCGGCGGGGATTTTCTACGTGATCAATGATGAATTAATCTCGTTTAAAGGGTGTAGTGATATACTTCGAGAATTCGAGAAGAAAAAAGAAGCGAGTGAGTGAAGAAGATGAAGCTGTGGGCATTTTTTAAAGTTTAAAACTAAGATAGTCTTAATTATTTTTAATGCAATTTCTGTTTTGATCGAATGTTTTTGGTTAAATTAGCTAACACATGTTAAATCAACAATTTAATCTAAAATCCCGTAAGAAAATAATTGGCAAAAACTTGAAGAAGTACGTAGTAGAATCTTGAGAATGTATTATTAAGTAGTAGGTACGCTATGAAGTTAAAAAAAAGGTCTTTGATATGGAGCAACCAAAACAAACCTTTTCTGCCAAGTCATCGACTCTCTGCTAAAGACTGAAGCTGAAGCAAGGATCAGTTTACCAAGGCGTAGTGAAATCCAAAGCACCTATATTCTTTTATGAGGTATATGCATTTTGTCTAAGGAAAAAAACCGACAGTTACTTGGCCAATGTTTCTCTATATCCTGGGAGGTCATTTCTGCCTGCAAAAATAGACAAGTTTGTTTGTGGATTTTGCAGCCGCTTGGAGGTCAAGGAATCGCAGTCCTAGATGTGTGGAACATTGGGGAGATATTTTGTTGGAAGGAATCTCGTAGAGATAGGACATTATGCATATGGATATCAAATATTGCTTCTAGTCCTAGACAAGAAAGCATCTCGTTTTGCCTCAACACCACTTAACTGAGAACATTTTAAGATTATTGGCATTATGTCAAAAATAACTTTGTTAAAGCAGAGAAAGTACTACTCTAAAATAACAGAACAGAACAGCATACTGATATGATTGGCCAAATTAAGTTCTTTGTCTCTTGTACTAAACATAGCTAGAATATAAAATTAAATGTTTGGGGAGTACGTATAAGAGAGAAAAGACTCAAAATATTAGTCGAGCTTTGGTGGGAACCAGTAAGGGACTGGTGATGTTACGGATCTAGGACCCGTCGTTACGGATTCACCCGTCATCATGTACTCCTCATCGTCGATGCAACTGAACCTGGTGTTGTTGTGGTCGTCTAAGTAATAGATGCAGTTTGGGCGCTGTTCATATAAGCATGCCGGCGGGAGACAAAAAGGTTCAGCCTTGGAGAGGAAAATGCACACACCTCCAAGGTCTTTAGTATAGACAGCGTTTCCTTCCTTGTCTAGCCTCAAGACATGGAAATGGTCCCAATCTTTAGGGAAATGGTCCCAATTCTCAGCGTTTCCTTCCTTGTGCTGCCCCTTCCCACGGGGGTCGATATATGTGAACCATTTGACCATTAACGTATCACCAGTCTGTGATGACTCCACCAAGTAGTGTTCTAACCTGCAACACGAATCGAACAACCCCCACCCGCACTTTCTCACAATTTCGCTCCTGACAAACTCATCTATTCTGTCAATATACATGTCCTTCACGGGCCGTTGTTCGGGATACCACAGCATCTGCAGCTTGGGTTTTTCCATGTGTCTCCCAAGATCCCATGATCCTGTGTAGTTGCCTCCAGAAGCGGGCATCGAAAACATCTCATCTTTCTTGGAGTACATTACATTGGAGGAGAAGAAGCCGGGGTCTGTGATTCTGATGTTAGTCCACTTGCAATTTCTTTGAGCAGGCCTGCACAAACTGAGTTGAGGTCCCATGAACTTGATAGCCACGATGCAGTCTTCATCCTCGGGAGAAGAGGTGGACATGGCCACATTGGTTACAACTTGGGTTTGGCAATGAAGCAGAGTTTCAAGAGGAGGCAGCGAAATGCGTTTTGAGTCTTCTTTATCCAATGCACATGGGTCTAGATCGTCTTGAAGACGCACAACACCATTCTTCAAAGTTGCTACCCAGCCATGGGATGCTCCTATAGTTCCCATCTCTTTCACTAACTCCATAGGCACTTTCTTTTCCGTGCAGTTGACCCCACTATCAATGTTGTAGCTGTACATGTCGAGCGATCCAACTTCACCATCTCTCAAAGTTGATCCACAAGGATTAACTTTGAAGACGCAATTAGAGAAGCACCGAGCCGTGAGGTACCGCTGCGGAATCACTAGTTAGCTACTGATCAAGACAAAAAAAAAACAGAGAAAAAAAACCCTATCACGAGACAAGAGAGAAGAGGGGAGATAGCTTCGAAAGCTTACATGGAGAGATAGCTTCGAAAGCGAAAGCCGGCCGAGAAACAGAGACATGGCTGCGTTTTTTTTTTTTTGCTAAAGAGCCGATGAATATCTTCTCCTCACTAAATACAAAACAGAGGAGAACCCTTGCCCACCAAGTTCTTCCCTATTGATTGACTTTCCTAATAACAAGCAAAATGAATATACTCGAGAGTTATGAATTTGATTCTCTTCTGTCATACTATTACAATAACGAAATATTAAGAGAATATGTTACTATTTTTATAAATATTATTGTTTTGTTCATACAACTCTCGAAAGTCTAAACTACCACAATTTAACGATATACTTCTATCAACTATGTAAAAATAGAGATTTTTTTTTAAAAAAATCGAATTAATTCCCAAACTCAAACCGATCTTATATGTTAATTCGTGTTTTTTTTGGGGGTATTTATCTTAAAAAGATGTGATTAAATTTCATGCTTTAAGGAGAAGAATCTTTTGAGAGATTCCAAGCCGCGATTGCATTCTTTCTTCCTCCTTTTTATTTACCTTTCTACCATGCCCCTCCTCTTTTTCCATCATCTTCGTCGATCTACTTCCCCAAAATCAAACCCTAAAGTCCCCAAATTTCTCGTGATCATAATAAGCTCTGTATAAATCCTGAATCTCTGAAGAAACTTTAAAGAACTGGGTTTCTCAATTTCGTTGAGAAATTCGCGATGCATCGCAATTTTTCACCTGCGGCGATGCCACCGATTTCATCCATGACAATGGATGGTTCATTCTCTCCTCCTCCATCTTCCGGCGACTTACCGGAAATCCCCGATGCTTGGTACGGTAACATTCAGTATCTGCTTAATATCTCCGTCATTGGGCTCTTATGTTGCGTCTCCATCTTCCTCTTCGTTAAGCTACGCAGCGACCACCGTCGTATGCCTGGTCCTTCTGCTCTCTTTTCTAAGCTCCTCGCCGTTTGGAAAGCCACCTGTCGCGAGATCGCTCGTCACTGTGGTGCTGATGCTGCTCAGTTTCTTTTAATTGAAGGTGGAAGCTTTGTGCTTCTTTTCTCCATTGCTGTTTTAGCTGTTTCGGTTATGCTTCCGTTGAATTTATATGCTGGGACTGCTTTGTTGAGTGATGAGCTTTCGAAAACGATGATTACTCATATTCAGAAAGGTTCAGCTCTGCTTTGGCTGCATTTTGTGTTTGTTGTTATTGTTGTTGTTATCTCGCATTTCGGAATCGCTGCTATTGAAGCTAGGTTGAAGTTTACTAGGTTTAGAGACGGGAATGGGAATATTAGCGACCCGAATGCGAATTCCACTGCTGTGTTTACTATAATGGTGCAGGGTTTGCCTAAGAATTTAGGGTCTGATAGAGTTGAGTTTGAAGAGTGCTTTAGGCTAAAGTACCCGGGGAAAGTTTATAAGATTATTGTTCCAATGGATTTGTGTGCGTTGGATGATCTTGCTACAGAGTTGGTTCGTGTTCGGGATGAGATTACTTGGTTAGTTGCCAAGATGGACTCTAGGCTTCTACCGGATGAGTTTGAGAATGCTGGAGATAATGGACTATTGTCTTGTGTGTGTTCTTTGTGGATTAGGGTGAAGGTTTTGTGGTCTCAGGTTACAGAGAGGTTTGGTTTTACAGATGATGAAAAACTGAGGAAGCTGCAAGAATTGAGAGCTGATTTAGAGTCTCAGTTAGCAGCTTATAAAGAAGGACGAGCACAAGGCGCTGGGGTTGCTTTTGTGATGTTTAAAGATGTGTATACAGCTAATAAGGCTGTTCAGGATTTTCGAAATGAGAGATCAAGGCGTACTGGAAAGTTTTTCTCTGTCACAGAGCTGCGGTTACAGAGAAACCAGTGGAAAGTGGACAGAGCACCCTTGGCTACTGATATTTATTGGAATCATCTGGGATTGACAAAAGTTGCTCTTATCGTGCGAAGAGTGATTGTTAATACGATTCTGCTATTGATTCTTGTGTTTTTCAGCTCTCCATTGGCCTTGATCAGTGCCTTGGTAAGTGCCGGGCGAATCTTTAATGCTGAAGCATTGGATAGTGCTCAGTCTTGGCTCGCTTGGGTGCAAACTTCTGGCTGGATTGGATCTCTGATTTTTCAGTTCCTGCCCAACGTCTTCATATTTGTTAGTATGTACATTGTAATCCCTTCTGCTCTCTCGTATCTTTCCAAGTTTGAGCGGCATCTAACAGTGTCTGGGGAACAAAGAGCAGCTCTCTTGAAGATGGTTTGCTTCTTCCTTGTGAACCTCATCATTCTCAAGGCTCTTGTGGAGTCGTCGCTGGAAAGCGCACTCTTGAAAATGAGCCGTTGCTATTTAGATGGTGAGGATTGCAAGAGGATTGAAGAATACATGAGCCCTTCCTTCTTATCAAGGTCATGCGTTTCTGCTCTAGCTTTCCTCATCACAAGCACATTCTTAGGAATCTCCTTTGATCTACTCGCTCCAATTCCGTGGATCAAGAAAAAAATCCAAAAATTCAGGAAGAACGACATGCTTCAGCTTGTCCCCGAGCAAAACGAAGAGTACGCTTTGGAAAATCAAGAGCCAAGCAGCAATCTTGAGACACCACTTCTCCCTGAAAACATGTTTGAGTCACCAAGATTCGGGGATATCGAACCTATGAGCCAAGACCTCTCTGAATACCCAATCAGCCGAACCTCACCAATCCCTAAACAAAAATTCGACTTTGCCCAATACTATGCCTTCAATCTCACCATCTTTGCCTTAACAATGATATACTCTTCATTCGCTCCACTCGTGGTCCCTGTAGGTGCAGTTTACTTTGGTTACAGATACATTGTCGACAAATACAACTTCCTCTACGTGTACAGAGTCCGTGGCTTCCCTGCAGGCAATGAAGGAAAGCTAATGGACACGGTTTTGTGTATCATGCGGTTCTGTGTGGACCTGTACCTGGTCTCAATGCTGCTCTTCTTCTCAGTCAAAGGAGATTCCACAAAGCTACAAGCCATATTCACACTTGGGGTGCTAGTGATGTACAAGCTTTTGCCTTCGGATACAGACCGGTATCACCCAGCTCTTCTACGAAGTATACAGACCGTCGATAGCATCATCGACGGACCTGTGGATTACGAAGCTTATTCTCACCCAAACTTCGATTGGGACACTTACAACAGCAGATGATTCTACGCCTTTAAGTCATATAAGTTTTGCTCTTTGACCAAATCGGGACTTAGAATCTATTTGTATATCTTCTTTGTGTATATTCCATCTTTTGTGCAATTATTTTTTGTTCACGGGTTAAGTTTGCAAGATTTACCAGTTGAGTCCCTTTAATCATTAATTTTGGGGTTGTAATAGCATTCTTAAACATGGGGTATGAAATCGGAAGAAATAGAAATTTTGGGGTGAGAAAAGAATTATAAAATTAGTTTGTGGGACCCAGTGTTCTCTGAAATGAGTATATCAGAGTTCTCTTTTCAACACATGGACTGTTACACTCACCACCTAACGACGACGAAGAAGAACCAACATAGATCTCTTCTCTACTTCTCTCATACTCACTAATCTTCATCGTTGCCCCCAAATAAAACCTAATTTTGTTCTCTCACTATTCCAAGATCTAAAATCACGCATTTTGATTTCCCAAATAATTTCTTGAGGTTTTTCTGGTCATGATTTCTCATTTTCTCTTTGTTTTCCCGAGAAAAATCTCCGGGAAAGTAGGATAATCTGTCGAGTTTCGAAATCGTTTCCAATGTCGTACTATTTCTTCAAGACTACTCTGTTCTTGATCCCGATTTTGATGTTACTGAGCTTCGGGAGCTGCAATGGTCGAATCTTCACCTTCGAGATGCACCATAGATTCTCCGACGAAGTCAAGCAATGGTCCGATTCTACCGGGAGATTTTCTAAGTTTCCCCCTAAGGGAAGCTTCGAATACTTCAACGCTCTCGTCCTTCGTGATTGGCTAATCCGTGGCCGTCGCCTCTCCGACTCAGAATCGGAGTCCTCACTCACTTTCTCCGACGGCAATTCCACTTCTCGTATCAGCTCTCTCGGATTGTAAGTTGCATTTTTCGATAAAACTTCTCTGTTTTAGGATAAGTCTGATTATTTTTTTTCTGTTTCAATCTTCTGATATCAGTTTGCATTACACGACGGTGAAATTGGGTACTCCGGGAATGAGATTCATGGTGGCGCTTGATACAGGAAGCGACCTCTTTTGGGTTCCTTGTGATTGCGGCAAATGCGCACCAACAGAAGGAGCCACTTATGCTTCTGTATGTTTAAGCAACTAGACTTGTTGAGTTTACTCATCTTAGCAATTGAATTATTCCATGTTCCAAGTCTTAATCCTGGGTTTCGATTTGCTGTGTTTAGGAATTTGAACTCAGCATTTACAATCCTAAAATTTCAACCACAAACAAGAAGGTCACCTGCAACAACAGTCTATGTGCACAGCGTAATCAATGCCTTGGAACATTCAGCACTTGCCCTTATATGGTGTCTTATGTCTCTGCTCAGACTTCCACATCTGGTATTCTTATGGAAGATGTTATGCACTTAACAACAGAAGATAAGAATCCAGAGCGTGTTGAGGCATATGTCACATTTGGGTTAGTAGCAGTTTGCATCTTAGCAATTGCCTCACTTGCTTCTTGTGTTTCAGTTCAATGCATTAAGTTCCTGAGAATGTGAATTATGTGCAGATGTGGACAGGTTCAAAGTGGTTCTTTTCTTGACATTGCGGCACCAAATGGTTTATTTGGTCTTGGCATGGAAAAGATATCGGTTCCAAGTGTTTTGGCAAGGGAAGGTCTGGTTGCTGATTCTTTCTCCATGTGTTTCGGACATGATGGAGTTGGAAGGATCAGTTTTGGGGACAAGGGTAGTTCTGATCAGGAAGAGACGCCGTTTAACCTGAATCCTTCACAGTAAGTGGTAATTCACTTATGAGCTAAATTTTAAATTCTGTTCCTTTGTGAATGCACCTTTAAGCGGTGGTGAAATTCATTGCTGCAGCCCAAACTACAACATCACAGTGACTCGAGTTCGTGTGGGGACTACTTTAATAGATGATGAGTTCACAGCTCTCTTTGACACCGGTACATCATTTACTTATTTGGTTGATCCGATGTATACGACAGTCTCTGAGAGTGTAAGCATCTAGAGACCATCATATTCGTGTTTCATCCGTGTGATGCTAAATTTTGATAACTCTATGATTCACATTATCTTCTTCAGTTCCATTCTCAGGCCCAAGATAAGCGCCATTCACCGGATTCAAGGATTCCATTCGAGTATTGTTATGACATGAGGTATGAGTTTGTATGCATCCACGCTCAATTTCTGTTTGTCACTGCCACGCAAATCTAAACATTATTCTTGTAAACGGTGTGATTAGCAATGATGCGAATGCCAGTTTGATACCGAGTTTAAGCTTAACAATGAAAGGAAACAGTCACTTCACCATCAACGATCCTATAATCGTCATCTCTACTGAGGTTATACTCTCTCTACTTCTTTCTCCATTGTTCCGTCTCTTCTTCAGCCAAATCTTTTATCTGTGTGCTGATACTTTTAGTATCTATGCATTTTCACAGGGCGAACTTGTATATTGCCTGGCCATTGTCAAAAGCTCTGAACTCAACATAATTGGACGTAAGATCAGATTTTCTTTCTATCGATAGTGGAACATTAGCTAAATAATGACCTCATTTACTCTTAATGAAACAGAAAACTACATGACCGGGTACCGTGTAGTGTTCGACAGAGAGAAACTCGTCTTAGCTTGGAAAAAGTTTGACTGTAAGTTTCCTCTTACGTGTGTTAGATCACTTAAACCCGTTGTGTTCTGACTTACGATCTGTGAATATCTCTTAACGCAGGTTATGATATCGAAGAGACAAACACAACTCTTGCCGGAACAAACAAAACAGCAGCGGTAGCTCCGGCAATGGCAGCTGGAATAAAGACTCATAACAATTCCTCAGAGCTACACAAAACAAACCAAACCATCTCCAAAAGTAGCTCCTCGTCAAACCAAAGATTTAAAACAGTAAAGATATGGTCCTTTTTCAGATTTGTGTTCATATTACTTCCACTTGTGTAGATTTGTAAGCCCCCTCCAAAACACAGGCCAATAGTATTTTTTTGTATCATAACGAGACTATAGAGATTTTCTTCAGGAAATATATGCTCTTATACGCATCTTACTATCTCGGCAAATTCTTGTCCTCTTTCTCTCATCAATATGAGGTAGTTAAACCGAAATAAACCGAGATAAACCGACCCAAATGGGAATTTGGCTGTAATGTTGAACGCCGAGAATATTCTAAAGGATATGAAATGGGTTCCACATTGATAACCTGCCTCCGCAAGTGGCCAACGCTCGAAACTTGACACGACCGAGACAATGATTCTTTCACTTTTCATCATTTTATACTAAAATTCCAATATTGGTGCGAGTCTTTGAGATAATTTTCAGTATTGGATTTGAAAATACACCCATTGATCAATTCTTGGAATGTAAGGAACAAAAAGATAATGCATTGGTTACATATTTATTCACATTATTGTTGTTGATATACATATTGTGAAAAAGAAAGATTCGTATTCTGAAAGGTAAATAAAAGACTTTTTTTTTTTTGGTTATAGCCTCTCTTTTTTCTTTTGTTATAGCCTGTTGGTGTTTTGTTGTTGTCAAAGGATGTATAAATATTGCCTTGCTAAATGCTTATACATCAACATGAGTCCATGACCACGTCTAGTAGATTAATTGTCAAAATTCATACAGAATAATGGCGAAGGCTCACACTTCACATCGTAAATATGTTAAATTTAATTATAAGATTTATATAATGTCTTAGAATACTATTTTTTTTGTATCCATTGACATTTTTTTTTGGGTCAACGGCTATATGCATTCAAAACCAAAATGGCAACATTACTACACTAACTTAAATGATTCAATTATGAGCTTATTTTAATACTGCACATGTTTAAGAATTAAGATCGTTTTGATCAAAAAAAAAAAAAGAATTAAGATCGTTCTTTCAAGAAGAAAAATCGTATACATTAATCTAACGATACTTTTCTACTTATTTTTTAAAAATCTATATTTTTCATAATCTTATAAAAAAAAAAAGAGTAGAATACTAAGCGAACCTTTTTCACATATCTATAAAAAAGTATAAATTAAATTGCCTGTGCATAGTTGAAATTGTATTCGATGAATTGAAAATCGTGTAATATGGTTAACATTATGTATCCATTGATTATTAAAAAGCGAAATTATGAATATACAGTAGTAGTTTTTTTTTTTTGAAATTCATGAATATACAGTAGTTGTTTACATAGCTTTGAACTAATCCACTCATTTTACGATCATATCTCATAATAATACTAAACAAACATATATTATAGATTGTTATTTTATCATATCCGATCACTAAAGTGAATATTGTTAAATATGGTAAAATCATTCTAGTAGCATTTGTCAACAAATTTATCTTATGAATATATTCATATTATTTATTAGCAATAACAAAAAAATCTATGACTTGATTTTTCCCATATATTAATAAGATTGTGTATGTAAAAGATATGGTACAATTAATATGAGATTATAAAAAAAATGGAAACTGTGTCCCTGGTTTAGAAAAGAGAGATTTTGATCCATCTATAAATATTTTCGTTTATTTGCAATGTTAAAATTATATAGAAAAATTAATCAAGTGGGAATAATTGAATTAGTTTGATTGACCTATTTTAAAGAGATTTTTTTTTTAAATGAGAAAATCTTAACCGGTAATTTCCAAATATCAACGTCAACAATCCATGGATAGGTGTTTTAGCCAATAAGATTCATTCAAACAAAGAAAAACAAAAGTGTGTTTTTTTCTTGTGTTTACTGTAAGGGTAATTTCGTAACTTACAATTTCCGCGGTAGCCAAGTAAAACCAAAACCAAATGGAAAAAAAAAACAAATGGAAAGAACATATAAAAACGAATAAAAAATAAAGGAGAAAGAGAGAGAGAAGAGAAGAGAAGAGGAGACTACACTGCTCCATCGTCTTCTCCTTCTGGGGATTTTTTTTTTGGAAAAATCGGTTCTGTTACCTTTTTTTTGCCATTACTCAAACCCTAACCCTAATTTTCTGAAAATCGCAGAGAGAGAGAGAGAGGTTTCATCGGATTCTTTCAATTCGCTAACTTTGTTTTTTGTTTTGGGGTTAAAATCGATTAATCGTTATTTTATTAGATACTCTGTCGATCGGAGCTAATCGACTCTCTTAACAAACCCTAATTTTTTGACCTCTCTCATGGCTTCCGCCACTTCCAATAACTCTGCTTCTTCTTCTATGTCTCCTCGTCGTATGAGCGAGAATCACGGCAGCCCTATCGCTGCCGTATCACAATCGCCTCGCCGTCCTTCTCGGCAGGTTTCTTCTCCGTGGACTCAAATCGTCCGCGGCGAATCAGAGCCGACCGCCGCCGCCGCCGCTGCAGCTGGTCCTTCCTCTCCTCAATCCAGGGCTCCGATCGAGCCGATTGCTTCTGTATCCGTTGCTGCTCCACCTGCTTCTGTTTTGACGGTGGAGGCGGCGGCTGGAGATGAGAAATCGGAGGAATCTGGTAATGCGGGAAAGAAACCAGTTTGGAAAAGGCCGTCTAATGGGGCTTCTGAGGTTGGACCTGTCATGGGAGCTTCATCGTGGCCTGCTCTTTCTGAGACCACCAAAGCTCCTTCGAACAAGTCTTCTTCTGATTCGTTAAAAAGTCTCGGTGATGTACCATCATCATCAGCATCATCATCTGTCCCCGTTTCTCAGGTTTGAAACAATTACCATGACCTTATTGATTATGTGGGTTTGTTTGGTTGCTGAAATGCTTCATGGAAGTATATAAAAGTTTGAGCTTTTGCATATGAAACCTCTGTAGCTTTAATTTGTTCTCACTGCCATTTGTGAAATGAATCTTAGCTTAAGCTTTCCTGTTGGACTTTGTATACTGCAACTTCGTTATCTGCATGTTTGTTTCCTAACTAGAATAAAGGCAGATGCGTCTTAATACCTTCCTGTTGGATTGTGATGCATATGGAGCATCAATGTACAACAGTCTTTTGAGTAGTTTCTGTTCAAAGTTCTCCTTTTGTTTCTCCCTGAATTTGCAATGTCGAAAACCAAATGCTTAATTTGATGTACGACTTCAATTATCAATGTGTTATCCTACTCTCAGTAATTCTCTTTATCCTGATTCAATAATAAAGATGCTTCTTTGTCTTTGATTTAGGGAATTGCAAATGCTTCTGTTACTGCACCAAAGCAAGCTAGCCGTGCAAACCCTAATCCAACTCAAAATCACTCGCGCCAGAGATCATTTAAACGCAATGGTGCCTCTGGATCTGCTAATGGTACTGTTTCTCAACCATCAGCGCAGGGTTCATTTGCCGAATTGCCTTCGCACAACCCTTCTCCTAGAGGCCAAAACCAGAAGAATGGCTTTGCGTCACACAACCATGGTGGTATTGAAAACCTATCTCAACGAGACTCCAGCAGGAACCAAAACGGTAATCATCACCAAAGTCATGGTGGCAGGCGCAATCAGGAGCACGGGAATCAAAATTGGACTTTTCAAAGAAGCTTTAATGGGAGAGAAGGAAATGCACAATCGCAAAGAGGTATTCCAGCATTTGTAAGACATGCACCACCACATGCGCAGCCAATTCCTCCTCAGTTTATGGCAGCTCAGCCTATTCAGTCTTTTGGTGTGCCCTTTCCTGCTGGTGAGACACATTGAAAAACACGTCTTTGTATTTCATTTATGATTTGCTAATGTGTCTTCTTCGTTTCAGAATTGGCATCGTCGGGGCCGTATTATCCCCATATGCCACCTTTCATGACACCTCTTCCGCATGGTCCGGTCTTCTACCATGTTCAAGATCCTCCACTACACATGAAACTACATAATCAGATACAATATTATTTTAGGTAGTACCTTCCTGTTGAATTCTTCTTATACTTCTCGACAATGAAATTCCAACTGATCAGTCCTCTTTAGGGAAATACTAATTTAGATGCAAATGTTTCTTTTGTTACAGTGATGATAATTTGATTTCAGACATATACCTTCGCGGGTGTATGAATGAACAGGGTTTTGTTCCGCTACGTGTGGTTGCTGGTTTCAAAAAGGTAAAATGTTTTCTTGATGTGTTGTCGTTCATTCACTTCTCTCCATTTATATATTATAAACAGTAGACCTTATGTATCAATGAGTAAGACTTTCATGGTTGTATAATTCCACAAATGTTTTTTTACTGATTAGGATTAAGGCAAACTTGTATTTAATCCAATAGGATCTTTGAATACTTTTGTGTCTATATATATAAAGATGTGGCATGCATGTACAAACTTTCAGCAAATGAGATCTGTTCTTAAGATAAGAGATATACGTTAACAGTGGGCACGTATTGAGAAATTCGATTGGAAATGCTTCTTTTGCTTCTCATATACTGGGATGCATAACGTTGAACCTGAAAAAGTATGACTAATTAGCTGCTCAGTAGGCTCTACACCAATTTTCTTTGCTTTTATTTTTCCTTCTCTTATCCTAGTTCTATAACATTTTGTTGCTTTGTACCGTATGCAGAGTTCTATTATTATTCTCTTTGAATTTTATCTATCTGTTGTTTCTTTTTTCTCCTTCTTCAGGTTGCAGAACTTACAGATAGTATCCAGCAAATATTGGAGGCTCTACAAAATTCACCTTCTGTTGAAGTACAGGTATTTCTTGTATTATGTGTCCTTTAGTGTGGAAACTATTGAATTCCATCGTCTTTCCTTGCTAGTAGTAGGGTAGTTTGTGATTAAACTTAAAACTTTTTATTAGGTATTTGATTTGATTATTCTGAGAGAGGTAGCTTATCAAAACTGGTGAAACTGAAAAAATAATCTCCCTGTTTTCAGCTCTTCTCATCATTTTCATGGCATTGAGATTTTACCCCTTTGTGTGCTTGGAAAACTTTAGCTTTTATTTGATTGCACAATTTTTTTCTTCTTTTTAGGGTGAATCAATAAGGAAGCGCCATAATTGGCAAAATTGGTTGCTTCCTAGAATGACGATCCCTGCAGTTTCTAGCCCCCAATCTGGTGATAGGGCAGATGCTGTGGCAAAACGACTTGGAAACTTGTCGGTTGATCAGAGCTCGGCTGATCCCATTGGTGGTTCGAGCAGTCAGTTGCAACCTACAGAAGCTCTTTCAGATGATCAGCAACAGTCTTCTGGTGCTGCTTCAGTGAGCAACCACAACAACGTCCCGGATGGTGCAAACCGTTGAACCACCAAGTTTGGGGGCTGTTGGTTAGTGTTGGACATGAATATATTATTTTGTCCTGCCCGAAATCAGGAAAACAATAATGAAGGGGGAATCAAAAAAAAAAGGAGAAAAAAGGATAAAAGCATAAAGAGAAGAGACCGATATGAATTTTTAAAAAAAAAAAAAAAAAGGATCAAACATTTGTGATTCTTCTAGCTAGCGGAAACTTTGGCATATTTAATCGGTTTTTTTTTTTGGTTATTTTTGGATGCTAAAAACTTTTTTTTTATGTTTATGCTACACATGCTATGGTTGCTTGTAGCCATTGTTATGGTTTGGGATTTATTGGTTTTGCTTGCTAATACTCTCTTAACCCCTAATACTGTCTTTTGTTTCTGTTTCGGATTTGAATATTTCGATTGTTGAATGTGTTTGTTTATGAGAACATCCTAAGCAAAGAGAAACTTAAATTGAGAGAAGACTCGTGAATCTCTTCTTATTCTTCAAGCAAAAATAAACTTTACTTGAGAGAAGACTCGTGACTCGTGAGTCTCTTATTCCTTGCCGTTTCGTCGGTGTGAGAAAAGTAAAGATTGATGCTAAAGTGAAGCAATAGGAAAACAAAGAACATTGTAAGAGGAAACAAGAAACACACCAAAAACATGTACAAAAACGGCATCGTCTTGTAGTTTGCTGTTGTGATTGCTTTGATGTGAACATGATGAAGCAAACACGGGCTTTAACGCTCTGCTGGCTGGCGTTGTACTGTTGTCTTGTGTATGATTTTGAGTGGGACAATAAACCATTTAGTTAAAATTTTCTTTTTGTTATAATTAACAAAGTGATTTGAACCGAGTAATAAATAATCCCATGATGAGTAAGCCAGTCGAAACAACAAAAAGTGAAAAGAACATTCCTCAGTTTTATTCTTATAAGCTTGACATACATGGATTTTAGAATGCAAGATTATTTAAACACTAACCTACAAAAACGAAGTATTATGGGTACTTAACAACAAAAAGGTTAATGTGTATATTCAAAAGTTATATATATATTTCAAAGTGTTTATAGCATTTTAACCGTGAAATCTTCCCTTTGTTATCATCACTTTTCACATGTGTGTCAATCCATATTGAAATTATTTGGTTCACTTTAAGACTAGTTAGGTACTTTTTTCTCATAAAGGTTTTACATTATTGGAGCGAATTAAACTTAAGGTACAAATAGGTAATTAGAATATAATGTATATCTCTCGTAATAAATGAAAACTGACTTTTCTGCACCTAAGAGTCTAAGACGATCTAGTTATAATATCATCCAAGGCTCTCTCTGCTTGGTTTAGTCATAAACTCATAATTATATGTAATTAAACAAACACAAACACTCACATATATCAGAATATTCTATATGTTCACCTAAATGTGGAAAATAATCAGAAACAACCCAAGAATAGGTTCAATGTCACAATCTCATCTGCCAAGCAAAAATCAGAACTATTCTTCATAGACTGAGAAAATAGTAAACCCTAATTCACAAAAACACACCAAAAATATAGAAAGTTGTCTCAATTATTCTTACCATTTTGGAGATGTCAAGTACACAATCCCACCATCTTGACTATCCAACGGTTAGCATTCTTTTGGCTCTTTCAACTCCAAGTTTTTTTTTTTTTTTTTTAGAGAAAAAAAAAAAAAAAAAAAAAACAACTCCAAGTTTTTTTCCTTATTTTATTTTATTGCTAATTTTAGTAGCAAATTATTACGACTACTTTGCGTCCGTACGTCCTAGAGACAACCTACGGACAGATGATGATTGTACAGACCAGTAGAATTAAAGAATCCAACGGTTATGAACTCACGGGTCATTCATATTGTTCATTGGATTATAATTTGAATGCGAACGAAAATGAATAAATACAAGTATTTATGAGGGAGATGGGTCTTCATCAAATCAAATCACTTGTTCATCGAGTTCGAGTCTATTTTAAACCCTTTTATGTCTATTAATATATAGAGATATAATTAATATTTTATTTTTTAACCACAAAAACAAAGTTTTAACAAAGTTTTATAATTGTAGGAAATCAAAAGTTATATAAACTATTCGATTGTCTTTCACTTACTATTTTGGTAGGCATATTTCATGTTGTAGTATTGTCCATTGCGCGAAAAAAATATATAACTTGCTAAAACAAAAATTGTTTCCATTTATATCCATTGTTTAAAAGTAAACTAAAGAGGATATTAAAAGACAGGAAAATAGATTTGATGGAGTTTGGGACAGAGCAATATAATGCTGACACCTGTCCAATCCCCTGAGACGTGACATGTCACACTCTCTCTCTCTCTCATACAATACAAGTTCTCTGCACAATTTTGTGAAACTATGGGCATTTGGATTCACTCGTTACCGGCTATACCCCAACTTTATTTTTCAAAAAATGATTTGAGACAAGAGAAATATTTGTTCTATTTTTGTCAATGAACATGAGTAGTGGCGTCGATACTAACAAAAAACTACTATTACTCTGAAATCTCTTTTTTGGGTTTACTTAATTGTTTTAAAATTTGCTAGAGAATTAACATCCGAATTTTTGGTGGTTGATACAAACGACAAAAAAAAATCTATGATATTTGTGACAAACGACAACTCAAATGTATTTTGATGCCCAATGTTTTGAAACATGTAAATAAAGTCTTTATACTTTTCACAAACAAATGGAAAATATCTTCTAATTACAAATATGAGTATTTGAGGTGAGTATTGTTTGAGGAGTTTGCATTTTCGATAAACAGCTCCTAATGTACTCTTTGCATGTTCAAAAGATGGGACGTTTCCTTGAGGGCTGTACGGAATGAATAGTTAATCTTGACTATCCAACGGTATGTTATCATATTCATGTACGGAATGAATAGTTAATCTTGTTGAATAGAATAAGAGAAGAGGGAAAAACACAAATATCGTATGTTTTAATAATATATATATATCAACTTGCAATAAAGGAAAAAATTGAAAAGTGTGACTAGATATGCACTTGGAGACTGAACATAGTAGATACGGGTGGACACACATAATCGAATATCTAGATATATATCTGGATGGTAGTCATATTATTTGTTTATTACGTATGATCAAAGATTTATTAATATGTATCATCTTCTACTTGGCCTACTATCTAGTTTAGTATTCGTCTCTAATCCTCAAAACAATCAACATAAATATCTATGCTCATATAAAATATGTCGAGATATTTGATTTAAATTGGTTTTAAAGTATCCACTTGTAATGTTTGTTTATGTTCAGAGTTGATATATATAGACCCACAAATTGATTTCCCTATCCATGTAAAACAGACTATTGACACAGTAATCAAATCTCGTTGGATGACAAGAACACCAATGATTTGAAGTGGGGAACAAATCAATAGTAAACCCCTTTTTATAAAAAAAAAAATCCATTTCAAATATACGATCGATATTATTTTGAAAATTTTGTAATTCTGTTAAGAAAAAGTTCAAAAATACATAGAGCGATATGAATTTATTCTTTAAAGAGAATCAAAGTGCAAATGACCCGTTCTAAACACTCCGGATCTCATACAAAATACAGCGTTTTTGTTTTTGGTATAGTTTATAATGTTTTATTTCGGCAATACCCTTAACAAAAAGTGTATTAATTTTGGCAAATTTTCCTTAATAAATCTAAGCGCAAGAACACTTGAAAGTGATCCAAAGGGATTTGATATTAGAAAGTGAGATAAAACCAAAGTTAATTTATATTTGCTTGCCTTTTTTCAAGCATCTCTCCCCCACTCACTCTTTACATTTAAGGATCATGAAAATAGTTCACTTTTGAAATTATCAACACCATTTTTATCTTTATAATAACTTTGACGTTGAATACATCAACACCTTTAATTACATATAGTTTATGGAATTACTCTTTTTTTCTTGTAATATATTATTTATTTTTGGAAATAGTTCAATCCCTCTGTCTCTTCTTCTGGAGTCTTGGACCCAACCCCATCATTCCAGAAATGACCGGCAAAAGTCAAGAAGCTCTCTGAGGTCTCTACTCACACCACTTTCTCTCTCTACTCTCTCTCTGCGTGTAGTAGGATGCTAGACAATTGACAACCAAAGACTAAAGCTGTGTTGTTGGTTCACTTCTGTTCTCTTTTCCAATGTTGTCATCAGCAAAGCATCAGAGAAACCATAGAGTCTCTGCTCAGACTCTCAACAAAGTTTCTTCCATTTCATCCTCATCGCCATCGTCTTCATCATCATCATCATCATCAACCTCATCATCATCTCCTTTACCTTCACAAGACTCTCAAGCCCAGAAGAGATCTCTAATCACCATGGAAGAGGTTTGGAAAGACATCAACCTTGCTTCCATCCACCACCTAAACCGACACAGCCCACATCCACAACAAAACCATGAGCCAAGGTTCAGGAGCCACAACCACAACCCTAACTCAATCTTCCAAGATTTTCTCAACGGATCTTCGAACCAGGAACCACCACCCACAAGCTTGACCGCGGGTTCTGCGCCTAATGGTGATTCCACAACTGTCACTGCTCTCTGCAGCTCTCCTTTTCCACCTCCTGCAACTGTTCTGAGCTTGAATTCCGGCGCTGGCTTCGAGTTTCTCGATAACCAAGATCCTCTTGTTACCTCAAACTCTAATCTTCATAACCACAATCACCTCTCAAACGTTCATTCCTTCAACACCCCTTTCGAGGCTCTGGTTCCATCCACTTGTTTTGGTAAAAAAAGAGGCCAAGAGTCCAATGAAGGTTCAGGGAATAGAAGACATAAGCGTATGATCAAGAACAGAGAATCTGCAGCTCGTTCCCGAGCTAGGAAACAGGAATGTGCCTCTCTTCTTGTCTCCTAGTCTTCTTATCATGTGTATCAAAAGGGAAGAAAAAAATGTGGTTTTGCCATCAAAAGGCTTTTGATCTAAAAAATTCGGTATCTTGGTTTTGATTCTCACTTGCAGGCTTATACAAACGAGTTAGAACTTGAAGTTGCTCACCTGCAGGCAGAAAATGCAAGACTCAAAAGACAACAAGATCAGGTAAACAAGCAGAGAGAAAATCTTATAGTTTTACCCTTTTGAAGCACTCATGTCAATAGTTCAATTCCTTATAGTTTAACCAACTGATAAAAAGAGACAGCCTCTGCAGTATATTTGTTTTGCATACTTTTTTTGTCCAATGACATTTTGGGTGGTAAGATTCTGATACTTCAGTTCTGTGTTTATTATGTGTGTGTGTGTGTGCAGTTGAGAATGGCTGCAGCAATTCAGCAACCCAAAAAGAACACACTTCAACGGTCTTCCACAGCTCCATTTTGAGAAATCTACAAGTCTTTATTTCTCTTTTGGGGATTGAGATTGTCTCATGAAGAAGTGAAAAATGGAAAAAGTTTGTACCCTTTTTTATTAGCTATAAGTATAACTAAGCTAAAATTGTAGAAGGAAGATATTGTAGGGGAAAGAAAGAAGATGTAAAACAAAAGAACCGGAAAGAGAAAAGGATCTTTCAATTTCCTAAGGCACAGGAACACCTGTCCTGGGTCCTCTCTTCATGTTCTGTCGTTTTGCTATTCAAACCCTTTTTTCACTTCTGTACTAACTTCTACTTGTATTCTTGTTGTAGTAATGTTCTACTTCCTCTTCTAATACTAGTAAGAAAAAAAAACTTATGTTTTACTGTTTAACCAATTTGGTTCTCAAAAGAAGCAAAGGATCAAATGACCAATAGACAAAACAGTGCTCCACTAAAATGATGACAATACCAGAGAAAAGTGAGAAGGGGACCTATCACTGAACATTTAATTTTCTCCCTATCACATTATCACAAAAATATCCAATCCTTTGGCTGGCTACCATACAAGCCAACAACTTGTACTATGAAATTGAAACCTCCAAGCCAATGGGAATTAAGTTCACCACTTTTTTGGTTGGTCAAGAGAGAACATGATAAGTTTTTTATTCAGTCTGGTCACTCCCCACGTTTTATTTATTCATAGTACATAGTACTCTAGCTTTTGCTATAACTGGTCACCATCAAAAACACTAGGTGTGTGTTTGTATTCATTTGGTTTATCAATAGAATGGTTTTTATCTTCTTTTGGTCCAATCTCAATTACCTGACAGTGATAAGTCTTGTTGATCCACTTTTGGTTGTTGATATATCGCTGTGTATTCTTTGAAGCAACCAAAAGTGGACATCAAGAGCTAATATTGTGTAAGAATAGTGGGCATTAAGATAGAGAAGAATAGTTACCAAAAGTGGGACTATGACTAGAATCTATCCTCGCATCATATGGTTACACTTAGAGCCCCTCAAATAGGCATCCAATACTTTAAATATTGTTTTTACTTTCATTCCAGTCAATAAGAATCCTAGGCTTGAAGAAACTGTAGACGAAAAAGTCGGTTTATTCACCTGAAACTACACACCTATATTGTTTTCAATTGCGTACATCAATGTTTCCCATAAAAACTTAAAACTTAAAAAGTGCTACCAGAACTTGGTCACAAGCCTAAAAAAATTGAAGAAGAGATGATCAAGTAATTAGTACAGAGGACAGAACGAACCATTGATAAGTTGCTGCAGATGCAAGTTGCTACCTTCACTCTGATCATTTTATTATAATTGGGTGGAAAAGCAAAAGTCATTAAGCTTTTGATGCATCAGCTTCCTCCTCAAGTATTTTTCCATCCTTTGGAACCAAGCATGGAATCCCATTTTTGATCTAGCGTGTTAAGAGAAGCAAAATCAAGTCTTTAACAATGAATCGTGAACATGAAGTGAAGCTAAAAGAAGAGGAAGAATATGATTAAGAAGCAAAACCAAGTCTTAACATTGAATCGTGAAATCTAAAAAGAACAAGAAGAAAACAGCCGACCAATCACTTTAGCGTATGATTATTCTATCAGCGAATCCCAAATCAACACCAAGAATAAATTCATTTTAAACTTTATTTAGTATGAAGCAAATGAAGAACAGGAAAGTATCAAACTCTATATATGTACATCTCAATCTCCGATGAGACAATTCCTAAAAGATCAATGTTGGGTTGAGAACATGTTCACTGAATAAGAGAGATGATTCTGAAAGCATATATATGATAGCGATTTGGTACAATTTCACTGCTTGGAGAGTTAATAAGAGCCATACATATAAATTTCATGGAGCTCAACAGGACACAAGCATCTGAATCGTTGGATAGAGAAGCTTACAGGAAAAGAGACACCAATAGTATCGCTGACAAGTGATTTCGTCTTCTCGCAAAACCTATCTCAGCAAACAATTATTCACCAAACTGCTTTAACAAAATTTCTTCGAGACCAATCGAATTTAAGCTATATACAAATTGAAGGAGGGAAATCGAACCTCAGAGGTTGCTTGGAGAGAGGGCACACCAGAATCTCGGAGAGGGTCTTGTCGATTGCATTGCCGGCGTCTTTTAGCAGTACTCTGTTTAGTCTCACCATTCTAAAGCTTTGATCTTTAGCTCTCTCCGGGGTTTTTTCTTTTTTTCCGATCTCCGGTAGAATCGACCGGCGTTGAGCGATAGTTTTGGACTTTTTTTGAGTTAAACGCAAAACGCCCCTGTAAATTAAAAAGTTTTCAGCTGTGCACCTGAATTCGTATGTTTTGCAAAACGGTCCTTCAATGTGTATAAATTACTAATTAGGGGAGAAAATGTTCAGATAAAAGCCTCTATTTTTGGGAGTTCTCGTTTGATGCCCTCAATTCTAATTTTGTGTCGATTCGTCCGTCAGTGGGAATGGTTATAAATTTAACCAACTTTAATCGCTTAGTGTTAGAATGTCTATGGGACATTGATTGCTCATGAACCTATTGGAATATGTTGATCAGAGAAAATTGAGGCATCAGGCGAAACTTGCGTTCTGGATTAATGCTCCTGAACTTCTGATTCTACGCAAAACTTTATCCTCACAATTTCTGAACTACTTGTGTTACAACGCTAGCTTCCCATGCTTCTTGTATTGTATGTGTAAATATGACATGCTTCATTCAACTGCTCAGTGATTTTGCTTCACATCAAAACCATCATTGTAACAAATGTGTAAAAGCTTTTGTAACATCTACGATGATAGAAGATCGACATTAAACCAAGAATATCCTTAATAAGCATGACAGGGTTTGAACTTCCTCTCATACCTTGTGCAAGCATCTGAAATGCAGATTTAGACAACCTCTTCATCGTCCAAGAGCAGACAGTCTTTTATTTTCTCCCTGAAAGAATTGGAAGTCAATGTTAGGAGTTTCAAATAGTGTTTCACTCAGTTTTGATATTCGTTTTAAATCTGCTGCTTCCTAGAGACATGAACTACCAATAATTCTGGCAAAACGAATGAAATAGGTTTTTTTGAAAACGAATCCAAGTTTGAGATCAGAGATACTACTCACCTCAGATGAGCTTGACTGTCAACCTTTTGATGCTTCACTTGGGAAATCATGTGATCTGGTAGAAACGAACTGAATTGCTCAAGAGATGATCCATCTTCTGGAAGTATTTGAAACCGGCAGCTTGAACAGCAAGCAGCATAAAGGACATCAGCTTCCTGGCCTTCTTCAAAAGTATCCAAATCTGATGAGTCTGATCTATTTAGCGGGCCATTGCAGATAGGACAGAAAGCTTCAGTAGTCATCGATCCATCATATTTGAGATTGAATCTCTTTAGGCGCCTCTGAGTGGCCATAGGAACATTCGAGTCATCCGTTTCCGGAATTTTGTTGAAGTAAAATGGAGTCAGCTTTGCGGCTGTCCGTACAATTGTGCATTCCCGAGAAGGATTTTCATCCTGCACAACGGATATAAAACCCCGAGACAATTGAATCAGCAAAAACAAAGTAACAGGCAGCCATGCATGCACTAAAACATATGCAGAAGATGAACATTATCTGAACCTGCAACAGAGCGACAAATGAAGACACCAAATCATTGATGCCGCATTGAGAACGACAAGCCAACTCCACAGTTTTTAGACTGCCCTGCCCAGAATATGTCAGATGTCACTCAACAGTTGGATTATGGAAGAATATGGTTCACTATAACAATATAATATAGACTAGGCAGCCAATATACGAACCCATCCAAAACGCAGAGTCTACTTATTTCCAGTCGAACACAATCTCGAAGTGGAAGTACGATGGGAACCTTCCATCTCGCATCAACATGCTGAATATCTGCTGATAGTGAATAACCTCGTCCCTGTCTCAAGAAAAAGCAATTCAGCTCACAATTCTGATAGAACATAGTCTAAAGGCAATGTCCAAATAAAGTACACAAAACACTGCGTATTGAAATAAAATCTTTACATCAAAACTTCAATGTTTACAGATGTATGGTTAGATCCAAAATATCTACATTCTTTAAGGCTTTTTGGCATAAAGTTCTCACTCTACAATGCAATCTATAGAATACTAAGCCAGAGAAAATACGAGTCAAATCAGGGTTACTAAGCAACACACCTTGACAGTAGCCGAAAGAACATGGGAAGCAATTCTCGATGTGCATGATCCCACCACTAATCTGTTGTATCCATTTTCAGAGGCAACCTAAAAAGGTTTATCACACAACATTAAACGTAAGATATTTCCAAACCTGGATTTCTTTCCAAACAGAAACAAAACAATATAATACCCAAACCTTTTGCAAAGTCAACATTTTCAGATGCAGCAGAAGGTCTTCTTTTCCAGTATCGTCAGGAACAGAGTCTGATAGCGTTACAAGCCTATCCCGTGCGTCAAGAGAGTCTGAACCAAAGACGCTCTCGACAGGAACAACATGGAGATCCTTTGCAGGTGGAGACAAACTCGACACAGTAGATCGAACCCACTCAATTGCATCAACCATTTCAGTGGAAAGAGCAGGAAAAGCTGCAGTTTCATCCACAAACGCAACGCCAACACCAAACACAGGTAAAGATCTATCTCGACTCGCCTCGTAATTCTTCAAAGCCTTAATTTGCAACTCGTGGACAAATTGAAGAGCGACCCTAAAATCATACTTGCTACGTTTAGACAACAATCAACTGCATATCGAAAAACAGAATATACAGAAAAAGAGAGCAAAACCTGGAAGATGATCCACCAGAGAAGGCAACAAGGACATTATCTGAAGGAGTGATCATGGCATGAGAAGTAACAGCAAGACGGAACTTCCCAAAGACGTTGTTCCTAAAACACTCTGCGCAGAATCTTCCATCGTCCGAGCCACCATCCCCAAATGTCATAGGCTCATTGCATTTACACTTGACGCAGACACTCTCCTGATAACCGCCACCAGCTACTGCATCTTCCACGGATATTTTACTTCCATCATTTTTCTCACGGTCATAGCAACCTGACTCACAGCCTGAGGAATTACAAGCCATGTCCAATTCGCAAGCAGCTGAAACTATGGAAAATTTTAGATTAGGAATTACAACACATAAGAGTAGACAAATGCGATCAACATCTAATTCATGAGAGACATAACCAGTATTAACAAGCTTATTAAGAGATTGTTACTTTACACGAAACCATTAATCTGTTATACCCGATCAGTATGTAATCCTATTCCACTGAAAATTGCTATAAAGCGAATATAGTGAATAGATAGAGATGTGTGCAGATTCAAAATCCAAACAAGCAAATTAAGTGATTAATTACCAATTTTAGAGAGAGAGAGTCGTGGAGATAGAAGCTTTAGCAGTCCCAGGTGAGAAACTGTTCTAAAGGTCAGCCTCAGGCGATTTTGGTTTAATTGTTTGAAAAAGTCTTTACTTTGTCTCAAACTAGGGTTTAGGAAAAACAAAATTGGGGAAGAAGATGATATGTGGTGATTTACGAGTCTACCCTTACCGATGAAACGATTAGTAAAAGATTATGGTTTGATAATAACGTTAACATACTTAAACTGTAGACATGTAAGTCTTAACCATCCATTAAAAAGAAACCGACAAGTTTTGTCCAATTTTGGAGCTATAGAATCATCAGTCATATCAATTTTTTGTCGATGTTTTAGGCTTTTAGCCATAGTAATAATGCCTCACATGCATTTCTTCATCTGTTTTCTTCTTCAAAGAAATTTCCTTACTTGCTATGCAATATTAATATTCACCCACAAGCAAATCGAATATGTTCTCCTTGATTCATTAAAAAAAAAATTACTACTATTTTGACCCAAAACACAAGTTTGGTTAAATTGGCCATCACGATTCATGTGATAAGAAGTAGTTAGTCTATAGTCTATGTGTACACAACACAAATTGCTGAATTTAAGATGAGAATCCCAAACTAATTTACATACGACTCCACGATTTAAAACAAAGATATTAAGTGAGTTGTACGAAGAAGAATCTCGTGTCATATATCCAGAGTTACAACATATCATTGTTTTTTGTTCACCTTTTGTGTAATCGAAGATTTCAATGCTCCATGAACTGCGACGAAGGCGGACTTATTTTCGTCTTCTCCGTACCTGCAAGGGTACCAAGAGGCGATCATTGTTCGTGCTACAAGATTTTAAATCAAATTTTGTTAAGATTATCGGTATGTAATTTATACCATAAGCCCCACGAATCTCTACTTCTCTCAGTTCTTGGACAAGAGCACAGCAACAACACATCAAATGAGATAGAAAATCGTCAATGAACCCTCCCTGTGAAATCATAAACCATTAAGCCTTCAATCCAATTCTACATAGTGTGACTGACATAAACATAGCCATTTCAATCTCAACCATTCAATATCATACCATGATAGTTACTACTGAAATTTTCACGGACAAATTAGTTATATATGGTTTGCATATGATAGCAATTTTCTCGGAAGCATATAGATGTTTGGGATCAAATGTGATTAATGATAAGGGTTCAAGGGAGTGGATCAGAGAATGTACCGTGATGTTCAATGTCTTCCGGAGTTTCCTCCTTACGCAACAAGTATAGCAGCAACACGAAAGTATCAAAGAATACGCCATTAGCTCATTACATGCTTCAGCTGAAGCTGGGAGAGCGAAACAAAAAAAAAAAACAGATGACTTGATAATTTTCACATGTATTAACTAAAAAACTGAAAAATAAAAAGTCACGGTATTCAATATATCTCCTTACAGATGTGCCTGTTAGATGCTGCAGTGGCAATCTTTGCCAAAGTACCACACGGGAAAAAGAATGTCTTCAAGCCTGCGGTTCCATCATTGTATCATTTACAACTTTGCAGATAACAAGGAAGTATGGAATGTGAAACGCTAATCATCTATATAAACGGAGAAAACAAAATGGAATCACACTGGAACAAGAAGTGGGGACTTACAAAGAGAAGGTTCCGAGCAACAAGCTAGTAAGTCGGTGTGCCATTCTTCATGGTGTTGTGCCTGTGATGCTCTTCGTGAAAGCAGATCATGCCCAGATGAAACATTAGAAGTGGATCTGCACGGAACAATTGATGTTATAGAAACATTGTACCAAATCTTAGCCTTAAACATGAAAACAGACCTGAAAAGCATTACAGTCACAGCAAAGAATTGGAGATTATACTTTCTTAAACTTAAAAGGAAATGTGGATCTCTTAAGCAGGACAAACATGAGATTCTAACCTCGAAGCTGCACGACTACCGCTTTTCTTGGGAGAATCTTCGTCATACGAATATTCTGTCTTCATGCTTGAGCTACGCTCAGATTTTTTCGAAGCTTTCTTTGTCAGCTCCTTCTCATTGTCAGGTTCAACAGCAGCAGCAGCTTGTGTAACACCAATTAAACGCTGAATGACTTCACACTGAGCCACATCATAATGCTCCTGTGAACGCTGAAGTTCGAGCTGCAGTTTCTCGTTTTCTGTTTTGAGAGCTTCACAGAAACGCAAGTTAGGGTATGAGCAAGAGAGAGTCTTCTTCAGCACTGATGCTGCTTCTCTGGTGGATTCTTGTTTCAAAATAACATCTTGCACATGTCTATCCTCTTCATCCAGAGTGTACTCACGCTGATCACGGTCAATATACTCAAACCTCTCCTGTAAGACAATCCAAATTTCAACATTATTCAGAGAAACTTCTTAGATAATAATTCAGGTAAAAATTACCCGAATGCGAGCGTTATCCACCAAAGTGATGAGAGGTATGATCTTAAGAAAACGATCAATCTCATCCTGATGTTTCCTGAACTGGTAAACAATGTTCCAACCCATAGCCAACAAGTAAAGATAGCTCCGGTCCCTACAGCTATTGACCAGAAGGTAAGACCTCCTCAAAGCATCCTCGAGCCCTTCGAGAGGCTCTCGAGTCTCTGGATACTTCTTCATCTCAGAGATCTTCAGCTGTTCAAGCAAATTCCCAATGAGTTTGAGATGTTGAGCGAATTGGCGACAATTCTTCTTGTGCATCCAAGCAGTATTGGCAGCTTTCACTATGAGCCCAATCAACTTGACGGCATCTAAACCAGTGAGCTGCGCCACTGACGCAATCTCCCCAAGACCATCCCATGAATGTGACATTTCCTTCTTCAATTCTTCTACTCAAAGCGATCAACAGCGGGAAAGTTCCTGGTAGATTCATCATTATGCACAGAAAACAGAAATTTAAGATCCAAAACATGGAATTATCGAGATTGTTGGAAATTTTACCTTCACTCAGCTGAATATTTATGGAAATTGACGGAATCAGAGAGTTGGATCCAAAGTTCTACAAGGCCGGCATTGTTGATAGAGATCGAGTAGGAGTCCAGTTTCCGACGCTAAATCAGAGGTAAACCACCGAGAGATTCAGATATTCCGGTTGAGGAATCGCATCATGGGAGATATATCGAGGGAGTGAAGATAGACTTGACTAAAGAGGGAGCAGTTTCTTGGACTGCGGCAACAAAGAAAAAAAAAAGTTCCATAAGATACCAATCAAAGAGATTCTCCAGGTCTATAGGCTTTTCTACGTCAAAGATCTTCAACACCAAAAGAACAAAAAATTAAAAAAATCCCTAAAGAAGATTTCTCTTTGAAGACTTGAAGCTGACGAAAGCGAAAGAGTAAAAATCCAAAGACCAGAAAGTAAAAGAAGGAAAACTTTGAACAGTTACAACCTCCGACGATTGAATAATTCGCCGGCGACAAACTCCTCCGCCAAGAGTCAAGTCAAATGAAAATCACAGAAAACTTTTAAATAAATTAAAAAAAAATGAAGAGAGAGGAGGAAACAATATTGGAAAGCTCACATGATGGCATTGAAGAAGGCAACAGATATACTTTTTCTCTTCACGGATTTCTATAAACAAGTAATTACCAAAAAAAAAAAAAAAGGAAAATGCTAGAATATTGATTTGAAGAAGAAGAACACTACTTGAAGTCTGGGAATTAAGTTTCCGGGAAAATGCAAAAGCACCTGGAGATTTGTTCGAGAGAAGATTGTCTCTGCAGCGTGAAGAGAAGAGAGTTAAATCCGGAGGCAGAGATGAGTCATATTGAGAAGACGGTTTGTTTTTGTCGATTAATGTATTTCTCTCATTTGCTTTCTTCCTCCCACACCTTCACTTGCCACTCGTCGGAGCTCAAGAGCACCCCATCCTGCTTTTTTCATTTGTATTTTACACATAGACCCTGCAAAACTCTCTCTATTTACCAATTTGCCCCCGGTGACTTTTCTGTTTTTATTTTACTAACCATAAAGTTTCATAAATCCTAGCTAGTAGTAGTTAATGTGGTTTGTTACACGTTGGTGGGTATACGTGACATTAGTCACATTACTAAATAAATAACCTTTGTGTATGAGTAGGACTAATGATACCTTAATAACATCTTGGAGTTTGAGATTATTATAAAAAGCCCTTGAGATTATCTCTCACTTTCCGGTTAAGTATTGTCTTACCAAAACAAAAAAAAATTGTGACTTTTGTTGTCTTTTTTTGGTTGTCGGCATAAAATGACTTCGTTTGAAACGAATAATGTAATTCTTCGTCGAAATATAAGGCACAACGACGTCAAATATTGTTATTTGTTTTAAGTTGTGTATGTATTATACATGAACAATTCCAATGGCTAAAATCTAAATTTTATGTATCCTTGTGACCACTGAGAAATTTGAAACTTATGATATGAAATACTGGCAGGTGGCGTATTGCCGTTAGTAATTTCAAGATTAAAAAAAAAACAAGAATAAAGCTGCTAATAAGTTAGCTTGATAGGTCATATACTTCTACAATTGTGCTATGATAATCATTCCTTGTTAATGTAAGACGGATTATGAAGAAAGCATAGTTGGAAATGTTGCATGTTTAAAAATGGGATAAAAAAAATGAAATGTGATCGCTTGAACTTGATTTGTCTTTGAATTGCAGTGACTATAATGATAATGGTTAGAAGATAAATCGTAGTCCATGGAAAATAATTCAACTTTAGGCCCTTTTCGGTTGAAATTGATTTGTCTTTGAATTGCAGTTATGGTGTAATTATGCCTTTTTTGGTCAATTTACTTTAGTTTAATTAGTTTCACACCCATATTGATCTTGCTGCACGTGGATTACCATGATTGTTTTTCTGCACAGCTGGCGAAACGGACGGTAAACTAAGACCATCTGCATTGGGGGATCACCCCCCCTGATCTAAGCATTATTTAAATCCAAAAAAATGGGTTAATGGGCTTAAGATCAGGAACTGTGCTCTTGACCTGGATCTGTTCTTGTGGGTGTTGCGGGGTGACGTGGCATTTGGGCATTGGTTGGAATATTCAACATATTTGGAATAAATTTGGATAATAAACTATGTATTAATTAGATAAAATATTTTTGTGCTTTTATTAAGTAATATGTTTGTTTGTTTATTGTTATTTATATTTTTAATGTTTTTTTCATAAATATTTAGTATTGTATTTTCACTTTTATTTTCAGTTTTTCATAAATTTGGCATTTGCAATTTATATGTTATTTTTAAATGTTTTAATAATTGTAAAATCTTAATTTAATTTAGATTATTATATTATTAAGTCTTAAGATCTTACACATGTTCTCCCACTAATCAACTTCTAAACAAAAGATCTAAACACATGATCTTACATTATTTTAACATTATATTCTCTATAAGAACACCCTCACATGATCCCCCATTGATGATGCCCTAATAGTCCAATACGATTGGGTATCTTCTGTAGAAAAATTATAGAATTTCTTTCACAATGATAATTAGGTACTAGGATATGACCCGCGGGTTAATTATTTGATTTTTTAATCATTTTGTAAACTGATGAATTTGTTGTGTATAATATTATTTGTTGTATACCGCGGATCACATGCGTTGTAACTAAAAAGTAAAAAAATTTAAGTTGTATTTGTTTTGTTTAGTGTTTAAGATTGTATAATTGTATTTTGATTTGTTAATTCTAGGATTTCACCCGTGGTATATTGTCTCGTATTAATATCGACCCAAACCCGTCTCACTATATATTCCCGTCCTGTGAAATTAAACATCATTTTGTTATTTTTTTAATAACACTTTTATTTAAAAGACATATAATTTGAGTCAATTTAAAAGTTTGCTTTCAAATGGTTTCCATAATATATATATTTTCAAATTTGTGTGTGTTTTTGGACCAACTCGTAAAAACAATTTATAATTTTATCTTAAAATACTAAATAATTGTATTTTGATTTGTTAATTTTAGGATTTCACCCGTGGTATACGGTCCCGTTTTGGATAATTATAGAAATTAAGGAAAGATCCGAATGATTCAATTCCGGGTCAGAAAAAAAAATGACCTGATTAAATGCGCAAATTTGTTCTTCAAAAATGTTAATATATATTACACACATACTTTTTTTCTTCATCGATTAAGTAATATATGTCCGTTTCAAAAAATTTGAATCATACCATATGCAGAAAAAAATCTAAGGTTTTATTAACTACATATATTTTATAATAATTCAAAATAATATAAATATAAGATCAAATAAAAGTGAAATGAGAATCATATATTTATGTATAAATTAGGTAGAGAGGTTTTAGGAAATTAGCTCAAATTTGTTATATTAGCATTAAATCATCATATTTGATTTCCTTATCTATAAAAATCGTAAATAATATACCATAAATAAAGAGTTTAGATATAGTAATTAGTTGAGAAAATATATATTTTTTTAGATTTTATTAATTAATTTCGTTTTTAAATTTTGCCAAAATTTAAGGAAAGATCCGATTTAGATTTCCGGGTCAAAATTGAAACAAAATCCGACCCGATTAGGATCCCTTAAAAGTGTTGCAAAAATGTATAGTAGACTAGATCATCACCCGTACTAAAGTACGGGTTGAATTTTATTTATTACAAAATTTATATAATATATATATAAGAACTAAGTTTTAATATATTATAATAGTAAGTGAAAAAATATTAATTTTTTTTGTCAGTCCCTATATACAATAGTAGAATAAATATAGAAGTTTTTCTATAATACTCAATTATGGATAATTTTTTTTTAAGATATGAAAACGGAAAATAATTTTATTTTTTAAAAAGTAATATTTTTTGAACAATGAGTTAATTTATGTTAACAACCACAAAATAGGATTGCATATATTTCAGTTAGATCAAAAATTAAAATATCATAAATGAATCGCATATAAAACATAGATTATTTTGAATTAATTAAGAAAATTAGCTATTATTTTGAATTAATTTAGAAAATTCTTTTTCAATTTATAATTCTTTGGTTGTTGAAATAGAGATTTGTTTGAGCTAATCTAATTACAGAATTTGTTTGAGATTTATAATTACGGAATTTACCAATTATTCGCATAATCGAATATGTTATAAACATATATTTAGTATATAATAATACCAAAATCAACCCGTGCGTGGAGTCTATATTTTTATTTTAGAATCTCAATATTTCATTTTAAAATATTGCATGCACAATCTATTATTCGTTAATTCTAAAATTGCTTGCGGAATCAAATTTTCAAATATTTAGAGGTGTCAAACCATATTTAAATGTTCTACACTATTTTTAAATATTCCAAATTAAAATCTTTAAATTTTTTTTGTAGTTTATAAAATTATGAATTTCAAAAAACAAATTATATGAAATTAAATATAACTATTCAAATAGTTATAAGGATCAAAACTCATTTCATCGTATAATATATTATATTTAACCCGCTACCTATTATAAATATTTTTAAAAATAATCAAATTAGAGTATTTATAATTTTAAACTTTTTGAACTATTAAGTATTGATGATATTCTCTAAAAATATCAAGTAAAACTTATTTTAAATGTTGCAAATTAAAATATTTAAATTTTTATTGTAGTATATAAAATTATACATTTCAAAAAAATAAATGTATGAAATCGAATATAAATATTCAAATTCTGACCCGTTGCTCAGTCGGAATTTTTGTTGACTTTATTTTTGTGTAAAAGAAATATATTACTCAACTCTGAATTTTTGACTCGTTTAATTGTTTCCTTTATAGATTGAACAATTTATATGCGTTTTTAAAAATTCAAATCTTGGCATATGCAGAAAAAAAATTACTTTTTTTATTATTATGTAGATGATATGATTATTTATTTGTTTCATATTAATATAATCATATTAAGATGAGAGGTGAAGTTTAATGATTAATAACAAAATTAATATGGTAAGTTAGATATCAAATCTTATATGTTCATTTTGATTGGTCATTTAAAAAAAAATAATAACAGATTTTCGTTTTATAATTTAATTAAATTAATTAAATGACATAAATTAGTATTTTACTTGTTTATCCTTAATAAATTGAATGAAATTTGTTCTAAAAGAAGATTTTTGTAATGGCATTCTTAAGTAAATTCTTACAAAATAAAAGGTTAGTTAAGGGTATCTTATAAAGTGTACTCCCCAAATAATAGTATAGGATTGAGACCAAAAATAACAATAGAAACAAACAAAGAAAGATATTTTATGTTTCAAATTTTAGAACTACATCGGCAAGAAACCCTCCAAAATATTACTACTTATCTTAATTGTTTGACACAGAGAAAAACAAAAGGTTAAGATATCAAAATGCAGAAAACTCAACTGTATTAACTAATTTTCTAAACATTTTAAGCGATAAACTTAGAAGGATTTTGGCAAGACTCTATACAAAATGCATATGTGGGAAGGGTGGACATTGGTAGTGGTGGTGGTGGTCCTGGTGGACTATGACTGCTACGCCCTCTATCTTTTCCAGAGTGCCTATATACCATGCGTTTTACTCTATATATGTAACCATTTCTTTTTTTCCAAATGTATATTACTGATTTCATTAAAATACTAGTTTCGTAAAAGTGTTTAACACTATCAGAGTTGCTCCATGACGACAATGATCAAAATATTACTTATATAACCTTGTAAATGTCCATTTGGTTTTTCTATTTAAACAACTCACACATTACACACAAAACTACAAATTAAACTCCGATGCTAATCAAGTCCAAACAATAACAGAAACTTAAAAAAAAAAAAATGTACTCTAGTAGTTTGTAGTAATACTTTTGTTTTGTATGGATTAGTGAATTGTATACGATATAAAACAATAACATAACAAAAAAGTATCAGCAATACATTACACTAAAGTTGATGTCAACTACCAATTTGCACTATAGGCCATTTGTTTAGTGCTGTGATGTATTTTAAAAGAGCAAGTAGATCAAATAAAATATGTTCTTTAAACTTGTGGGAATGTATCATTTGCACGCCTATAAACGGTTTTGGTATATATTGAATGTGTTTTACTACGCAGCAAACAAACTAAGTTAACCTAACTTGTGTAAGCAAAATTTCAAACGAACTAACACAACCTAATTTATACAAACATGTCATAGTTGTAAAAGTAATAAAGGGAACGTCTTATTATTGGAGGTAAAGAAGATAGACAAACTGTTGTTTTAGTTGTTAGGTGAATTGTCTCCATGTGATTTAGTTGGGAATAATCGTGCTTCTTACTTTATGTTAAATAAATATCTCGAAATGTCCTTATCTGTAACAATAAATGGGACAGCTAAATTTTCCATACACATTAAAAAACAAAATCACTACTAAACATAAGTATTTGTACAATACTTTAACTAATTGTTTTTGGGTTATATAAGTGAAAATGGTCATCGAATGTCTAACACTTTGTCGGAATCGGATTTATAAACAAATAGTTTAACAAAAAAAGTAACTCTCAAAATCTGCATTGCTTCTGACCACAAATAAAATAAATTACTAAACTATTTAGCATCAACACACTTTAGGAACAAAGTCTTAAATATAGTTTTATTTAGGATTTTTTGTTTCTTTCTGTAATGTAATAGCAGCTAATGAGTTCCAGGTGTTTTGATTTAAAGTGGATTTAGGTTATTTTTTGATTTGTTACAAAGGGATAGTTTAAACTTTGAAACAAGAACATAAACTCATGATTATGCAAATGGGCTAAACAAATTGACTAGTAAGCCCATTTTTTTCCACACAACTCTGTTATTGCGTTATGGGCCCAAATCGAAATGGACTTTTCCTAGACAACTGTATTCTCGTCGTCTAGCTGTGCGATTGAAGATACTAGACAAAAATACCCCTCACGTGAAGTAAACATCGAGAAAAGGAAAATTAATTACCAACACGAGAAAAAAAGGAAATTCAGATATCGTTTTGTGATTTATCGAAAATCTTTTTGTTATATAGTTTCCCAAATTTTGAATCTATTCACTCAATTAATAATCCAGTACGTTATTAATATCCTATAGATATCAAAAAAAAAAAAAAAAACTCACAAGAAAAGCTACCTTCGTATTAATAAGGCGTGATTTGGGTTAATAGTGTCCTTTTCTAACATTGAATTTAATCATGCTAATTACCCCAACATTGGAGCCGCACTTAATAGCTCATTTTGTGAAATTACTAACTTACCCTTCATTCCCAAAGCGTGCCCATAAGGATAATAGGGTAAAAGCGTCATTACAGGAAATGATTAAAGAATAAAGTAAAAAAGAAAAGTCGTAGTACTAAAACATCTTTTAAAATAAAAATAATCAGTCGAATCTATCTGAACGCGCAATCTACGCCGTCAAATTTGGTAGAGCTAGTGAAAAATGGTCCCACGTCTCCGATAATATAGGCTTAACCAATAGTAACGTACCACGTATAGCGATTACTTTGGTAATTGTAGTGTTTAGTGAAATTGTTTTGGCGGGCGTAATTAATAAATTCAAAATCAGAGCCAAAATTAAAAACAAAACCCTAGCGCCTCTTTTTTTGTTCCATCTCTTTCTCTCTCTCTCTCTTGCTCAAATCGATTCCCTCGCTTATCGCCATTTCTCCCTCCATTTTCGCTCTCTCGATTTCGAGCTTGTTCTCTCCGCCTATCGAATCTCTAATTTGAAGCTGAATCATTCTCGATCTGGATGTTTATCGAAGAAGGAGGTCTCTTTTAATTTAGGTAATTCCTTCTCCGTGCTTTTTTTTCCTTTCCGATTTCTAGGGTTTGAATATGCTGGAGATTCTTCAAATTCTCTGATTTGGTAGTTTTCTTCAAGTGTAATTGATTGAATGATTTGGCTGAGGTTTAATTTTTCAATTTCTTCATCCATAGTTATCATTTTTGATCTAGCGAGAGCAATAAGGCGATTGCTTTAAGTCTGGATTGATGGTTGTTGCTGTTTTCTTTAGTTGTATAGGTAAATTAATCTATTGGAAAGTGTTGTAGTAGCTGTAACTGTTAAAGGCTAGCATAGATATGGGGAAGGTATCTCCAAAGGACTTGGATTCAAAAACCTCGGTGAGGAAAAAGAAGTTGAAAGGTTCAGGTAACAAATATTTAAAGCCAGGGGCTTTGGTTCAGCTTTGTTATAGCAAAGCATCGGCTGCTAAGTCATGTAATGATTTGGGGAAGAAACGAGTACCTGTATTTGATACTAAGCATGCAAGGAACAAGAAAATCGCAGCCGAGCAGTTGAATTCTCCCAAAAGCCCTCTTATGTTGTCCCCTGTCAATGTTGTTAAGCGGAGTACTCTGGTGAGGCCTATGAAGTTTGATGATAGTAATAATAGTTGTAAGAAAAGCCCTTTAATGTTATCTCCATTGGGTATTGTTATGCAAAACACTTTGGTGAGGACACCAAAAACTCCCCAAGCTGATCCTTGCAATTCAGAATCTCAGCTAGAATCTCTTCCCATGGATTTACTGGTAATTTATTCAGTTACCTTCACTTCACAGGTTCCATTTTATAGTGTTCTGAATGTATGAAGTCTGTGCCTTGATGCTTTATTTCCAACTTTCTGTATTTTACAGGTTAAAATAGTTTGTCATTTGCACCATGACCAGCTGAAGGCAGTCTTCCATGTTTCTCAAAGAATAAGAATGGCTGTATGTTCTCTTCCCTATCTACTTGTTTAGTTTGCATCCATAAAAGCTCTTATCTTTTTTGCTTTGCTATTTAACTTCTTGGTCATTAATATGTTTTGAGTTTCCTTTTGAAACAGACCATTCTTGCAAGACAATATCATTTTAATTATACAACTCCAGATCGTTCAAGACAGGAAATGTTGAGTGTCATGACCCCAATGCCAATAAATCGTTGGCCATTCCGTAGGTACATGTTTTGCTTCAATTTTTACCCTTTCGAAAAGAGCATCAAACAGCTTGTTTGGCTCTTAACAAAACCTTCATTGATCTAAATTAGCAGAGGAGATGGAAACCCAACAATGGTGTCAAGCCCACATACCCCAAAAGCACCAAAACATGCTCCTCGACCACCCTTTCGAACCAAACTCGCAGAGATGAAGCAAATCACTGCTGTTCTTTTCCAAGACCAGGCACCGTTTCCTTCAAGATGCATCGTTCCTTCTGTTCTCCAAAGGCCGACTTTGTTCAAACCAATGGCTCCAAAGCACCCTCGAGTGCTCTTCTATGAGGATGAATTATGTCAAGCTGTTGCTCAAAACAACCTTACCTGATTACACTTGCTGCAGTCAGACTCTTCATATCGGTTTCCTCTCTCTCTGTTGATATTAGGTTTTGTCTTCATTGCATTATTGATCATTGCTCTTGATGATCATCATTACCTATAGTAAGAAGCATGCAAGTTTTGTAGCAGTGCTAGTTCAGGGTTTTAGGTATACATGGCAATCTCGTAGTATCATTTAAGGTTTTCAAGTTTTTTAGTCTCTGAGTTTGTCATAATAAGCTTCTTTGATTTGGTCAGTTGAGTCTTGTGTATATTTTTCTGCATATCTTATTTTGGATCTGTGGTTTTATTTTAATATAATTTTATTGCTTTTGCTTGCTTTCATCCCACCCAATATTGGTTATTAAGTTCTCCAATTTACCGTACCGTGATTCAAACCGTGCTAAAATGTTAAAACCGGATATTATAAAATCGATTGAATTAGATTCGGTTCCAGTTCGTTTAGAGTGTTTTGGTACTAATATAAACCTGTTTAGCTGCTTCATAAAAGACCTCCATGGAGGAATTCGCAAAAGTAATTTATCTCATAAGGCCTCTGATTTAGTTGGGCCTATTTACGGTCTTATAGGCCCAAACATTTTGCCGAAGATCCATTATTGAAAAGTAATCATACGACGCGTGTATCCCTGTTGCCAAACAAGACTTTTGTCCCTCGTAGGGCCAATCCTTTACTTGGCTATAAATAAAGGTGGTATGTCTTCTTAACAAACACTTTTTCTCATCGGAGAGCTTCGAAGGGTTCTGAGATCTCGCGGCTCCTTCGATCTTCTCCGCTCAACTCTACCTCCGATCGTTGGCTTATTTCTACTGTAACTTCGTAGATTTGATTTTGGCGCGTTATTAGAAACCCCTAACATCTTTAAACCTAGTCGAGGTCTCTCGTGATCGATCTAGGGTTTCGCGAGATCTGAGATTTCATATTTTCCGATTCACCTTCACAATCCAATTCTTTTTTGTTGCTTGGATTTGTTTGTGTGTAATCGTGTGTTAAGATGTCTCGGTGTTTCCCGTTCCCGCCACCTGGTTATGTACTGAACGGAATCCGCGATGAGGCTGTGATCGTATCGATCAAGGTTTGTTTGAGCATTTTAAATCTCTCACATGGCTTCGGTTTTTGGTTTCGGGTTCATGAGATTTCGAATGCTCAGCTTCCTTGTGTTTCCAGTTTTCTGGTATCTGTGTTCTAGGGTTTATACTAAATTGATGGAAACTTCTTGGCTTGAAAGAAGGGAGATAGAATGTTGCGAGATTTTAATTGAAAAAAGATGATCTTAAGTTGTACTTAAGTTAAAAAAAAGCACGGATTCGAATCAATGTCCCAATATTAATCGGTTTGTTTAAGGTGACAATTTTAATGAAAAGATGCGAGTCAAGTATACATTGTTTTACTCTTAACCAAAATGTGTAATTGACTAAATGTGCAAAAACCTCTTGTGTGTTACGCAATTTGGAGTTTAAGTGATGATCTATTTGAGGGCTTGTTTCTGTTTTATTCATTGAATTTGTCAATTTCTGTGAGTTAATCGATGTTCCATTACTTGTGTAAATTCAGGGGGCTGAGGAGAAAGCTAAGAAAGAACAAAGGAGGAAGGAGAGGAAAAGAGATAACAAGGAGAAGAAGGATAAAAAAGATAAGAAGGATAGGGAGGAGAAGAAGGAGAAAAAGAGGAAGGAGAGGGAAGGAAAGGAAGGTGGTAACGAAAAGCACAGTCATAAGAGACGGCGTAAAGAAGACGGTGCCAAAGTTGATGTTTTTCACAAACTAAAAGAGAGTGAAATCAATTGTTTGGAGAAGAGCAGCCTTACTGTAGAACGTGAGCTGCTTCAGTCGACGTCCCAAAACTCTTGTGATAGCACTCTTAACAGCAATGAGATATTACCAAAGCAGAAGGAGAAGCAGCAGCCTCTCGATGGTAGACATAACAACAACCAGAAGCAGAAGGAGAAACAGCAGCCTCTCGATGTTAGACATAACAACAACAACGACTCTGGTGAGTTTGTTTGTGTTTCTTCCTTTCCGGGGAAGGATCTTGTATTCTTGTTGGGTCTAATTTCCCTTTCAGGACATTGATGACATTCTTTCTTCAAATTGTTGATATGAATTTGAAGAAAGCATCATTCGGATTCGATTGCCTATTCGAAGGCAGAAAGATCCCGAGGTGATGATGACCAATAAGGATCAAGAAAAACCAGGTCCTTCCCGGGGATTAAAGTTTGATTCGTCCCAGCTTGCTACTAGAGAGCCTGTTAATCAACATCCTTGTTCCACTTCTGCACCAGAACATGCGTCAAAGCCACGAGAAGAGAAAAGGAAAGATCCCGTTTTTAGAGGGAAACTCGGTAAAGTGAAGATATCCTCATCCGCTACTCAAGAAACTTATCAACCCCCTAAAAGCCTATGCAATTGCCCTCCATCCATGGTGTTGCAATTCTTGAACGTAGTTGAGAATTGGGTCCCTAACACGATCGAGAGAAGACTAGACCTCATTAACTCTGAAGATGAAGAATGTTGGTGGTCCAAGAAGAAGCCAAGTAGCCCCACAGAAATATGCAAACAACTTAACAGAAACAGTGAGATAAAGCAAGTAGGCAATTCAATGGGGTGGCCGTGTGCTCGCCTTTTACCAGAAGCTGATGTCTACGCCTTACCTTACACAGTCCCGTTCTGATAAATTCAAAGAGCAGGAAGTTTTTAACAAGGAATCTGGTCGAGACATCGATGATCTGGGACCAGACATTTTTTGGTTTAGCCTTAAAATTCCAAGGTTGTATAAGAAGAACACACTGTTTGTTATTCTTTGCGGTTGGTAACCAATATAGTAATATCAGTATTGCGTCTCATTCTTACAATAATAGAATGAGAAATCGAAATGGAAATTTCATGTGAGGTGGATCAATAACATCATCACAATTGATAAAAACATTTGTAAATGACTAAACATTAGCTCTCTCGGCTATCAGTTAAAATAGAAGTTAAATTAACCCCACAATTCGTTTTTTAAGATACTAAGAGATCACAATGAATACGGAAAACAACAAGAAAAATGAAAATCCAATACTTTTTTAAACCACCCTGTCATCGACATCTCAGAGAGCTTCTCGACTTCCATGAGAGCTATTACAAAATGGAGCAGGCCTTTTGTGCTTTGTTCTTCTTTTTCTTCTGCTTTGGAGGTTGAAGGACCACTCTGATCGCTGCATCAAACACGCCCTTCACGTTCTGCAGTTAAAGTCACATTTTTTTGATGAAAAAAATGAAAGATCCAACAATGAAAAATTGAATCATGAGATGCCTTTTCTGCGTTTACCTCTTGTGATTTTGAACTGCACTCGATGTAAGCAGGCGCTCCAATTAGCTTCTTAAGCTCCTCTCCCTTTCATGCAGAGGGGGCAAATGATTAACGCGTATGGTAAAACTGATAAAATTGCACTGAGGAAATAAAAGTATTCTTACCTGAGCAGTGGTAATAGGGACAGCACCAGGATGGTCGATGAAGAACTGTTTGTCATCCCGAAGATCTGACATGAACCAATGTTAGAAATCAGAAAGGCTAGGATCATAGATTCAGATGCAGCAAACGATCGTGAGTGACAACCAAACATTTCACTGAAGATCATGCAAAATGCCTTTTATATAGGTATACACTTGGTATACATTCTCTTGAAATGAAAGGTCACTAAAAGTTTTAAGAAGTCATCAGAAGAAGGGTTATATAGCATATGGTTTGCGTATCACAAGAAGTGAAAGATACAAGAAGAAACCTGTTGACCAATGATATTCTCTGAAAACTAGCCTCAGTTTCGCCTAATGAAAACATGTTGAACATGTACAAGTTTGAACCACAACCAAGAAAATGTGAAGTTATATGTCCAATAATGTCATGATATATATCAGAGCAGCTTAATAAAGTGAAAAAGAAAATGGCAGTGTAGGTGCTGATTCTCTATATTTATTAGTACGCAATAGGAATCAGACGTATATGTAAATAAATGCATGAAAGCAAAAGTGAGAGGAACTAGTTACCAAGTTTGGTTCCAACGAGGACAATTGGGACACCAGGAGCATAGTGCTTCAACTCTGGGATCCACTGTAAAAGAAAAGATGAAGCAGCAAAATTATAAGGGGATTTGGAACACTCAATAGTTCAAAAAAGGGCGAAACTGTAGAAGACGAGCAGGGGGAAACAGACCTTCTTGGAAACATTCTCATAACTAGCCTTACTAATGAGAGAGAAGGCAAGAATGAAAACATCGGCACCGCGGTAACTCAAAGGTCTTAATCTGTTATAGTCCTCTTGCCCTGTATTATCAAAAACCATAATAATTTAGACCAAGGAAAGGTCTCCCCAAGGATTATTAGTAGTATCATTGATTTACCTGCAGTATCCCACAATCCAAGATTCACGGTGGCTCCATTAACAACCACATTTGCACTAAAGTTATCGAAAACAGTGGGTACATAATCCTGGAAATATACAACATTTGAGTTTTTATGGATCCCAATTCATCAATTGCCGAGCCACAATCAGACAAAAAACATGAATCATAAAATTCACACGAATTCAGGCAGATATGTGAATACCGTGGGAAAAGTGTTGCTGGTATAAGAAATCAGCAAACAGGTTTTACCAACAGCTCCATCACCAACGGTGACACACTTTATGAACCTTGAAGCGCTCATTGCCTCCACCTCTTCTTCTTCTTCTTCACAATTACCAAAAAAACAAGATAATCAACCTCAGATTTAAACCTGAGGAACCCAGAGATACCCACAATGTGAAGCCAATTCCTCCGAATCTTCCACCATTTATCTTTCAATTAACCATCTCAAAACCCTAGATATATATGTAAAATGAGGCCCAAAAGGAAAATCAGAAATGTGATGATCAAAACAAGGAAGATGAATGAATAAACAAAAAGGAATGAACGTGAGGACGATGAATTTGGATACGAGAGAGAGAGAACAACAACTAGAGAGAGATAGAGAGAGAGACCAAGTAGAGAAGAAAGTGGTGATGGCCGGAAATAATTGCCATTGAAGCGTTCGTATATCGATTAATCTCCGCCATTCATCCTCATCCTCCCGATTGTTTTGCTTCCTTTTTACTTTTTTTACTTCTTCTGTTTTCTTTTAATAAATTATTATTTACATTTTTGTTTTTCTGTTTTTGCAATATGAAATACTCAATTTTTTTTAGACATAGTTTTTACTGATAGTTTTATTCAAATTGTATGTTAATTTGTCTTCTCCCTTTGAATGCAAATAATTTACACATACTAAAATTATACGCGTTAGACTGGGCAAAATATCCAGAATTCGATATACGATCTTTGACCGAATTTAAACATGTTTGGACCAGATGCTACAATATTGACAACTTTTATTGTTTGTCTTAAATTGGATAGATTCAAGGATTTGTATTGTTTGTCTTAAATTGACAACTTTTATCTTGGTCTTCATGATAAGATTGAAAGATTGTGGTTATATTATATAACTTATATATATATTATATACTGTGACCAAAGTCTATCTTATTTATACTGTGGTAGTAATATTTTCTGCAAAAAATTGCATAAAGATTGCAATAACTTATATCTCGTCAAACTAAAAAATGTTACTACTAACAGATATTTTACGAGTATTTGTCAACAAATAATGGTCATATTTTTCTGCGATGCATAAAGAATAAAACCTTTCGTCATGCTAAAATGCCTTAACGTGTTAGGAAGGAAAATGTCTCTGCTAGTCAACTTATTCGGATCAAAGTAACCTGCGAGAAACAAAATAAAACTTTAGGAATCTCTAACTCTAACTAAGCAGCATGACATTAGTTTGTCGGAAAAGCTAGCATTCGGAAAAGCAGCATGACATTAGTCTCTAACTCTAACTAAACAGCATAACAGATCTTTTATTTGTAGACTAGTCTATGAGAGAATCACAGTTTTAAGTTTTAACAAACCAGGATTCGTGGAGTTGGAATCAGTTTTACCAAAGCATCATTCCAAAATTACTAATAAGTTACTAGCGATCATTCTAACTCACTAAGTCTACGATTATATTGGCTTTCAACAGATTAACGATTGGAACAAGACATATAAGCATTGATGAAACTTACCCTGAACATAACGGTGATGAATCTGAAGTAGTCAACGGGATGATCCTCCGGCCCAACAAGCCTGTAAGATTTCGCCGCCAAAGGTTTCCGTGGATCGTTTTTCGTGACTGTGACGTATCATTTCTCTCTTCTCTCTCACCTGTAAACATTTTAGATGTCAGAAATTTCTCAAAGATAATTAACACCAAAACGACAAGAAACTATAATATCTCTTTCTCACTAAGACTACAGTTCCCAAAATCAAGATGTTTCAGAACATGACATGGTTCGTCAAACAAAAAGGAGAAACATCAGATTCTTACCAAACCCAAAAGCAGAGTCTGAGGTCTGAACCCGCTTCTGGTTCTTGATTTCGAACGCAGAAGAGATTATAAAGATCTCTGTTTTTCTTTCTTTGCGGTGAAATTTTATGAACCTTCCATTTCTGGCTATTTGCTCGCAGAGAACCTGCAAGAACACTGGAAAAAGAAAACAGAGGAAGATGAATTTAGACCAAGTTAAACAGTATAATGCGTAAAATTGAAACTGACGATACTTAGTGAGAAGAAGAGAACATGAAAGTGTTTCGACATAATTCATAGAAAAGTAAAGAAACAAAATAATTCTTACCAACCTTAAGAGTAGAGTTTGACGACGAGTGACTACGAGAAAGAAGCGTTTTGCTTTCTGAAACTACGAGAATAGTAAGCGATAATTTAGAAGAAGAAGAAGAAATGATTGTGGTAAGTAAGTGAGTGAGCACGAGCCACTTATATAGGCAGCTTCGGATTTCTTCTTTCAACGGCTACTTTTCTAACGTCTATATTCTTACCGTTGTAAATTTTGAGTCTCAAATAAGTTACCGTTTGTGAATGAGGTGACAAGTGACTTGACGCCTAGGTGAAAATTACACAACAGCAAAAACTAAAATCATTCATAATAAGCCCAATGGGCCTAGAGAGACCCAACTAAACCCTAACAACCAACACTAAAATTTAAGGACACAGTTGGTCATTAGTGTATAATTAAGTTATTAATATAAAACCTTCACAACGGTCGTCTCTCAAGGAGCATCACAGCCCTCTATCTCTATGGATGGTACGGAGTAGGAACCAAAACGCTTGTATTATCTCTTATGGATCAGAATGTCATATCTTGTTCAAAACTGAAAATGTCTAAAACTTATCTTTGATTTTATTTGTTAATACAATAACCAAATCATTTAAATCAAATTGATCTCCAACAACCAAGGTAGTTTAGTGTTAGGTAGAATCTTCTTTGGAAATAGTTATGAGTTATGACCCCTGGTTGGTTCCAGATCTGGTAGCTACGGGATGGTAATTACAACTTTATAATAAACTATATAGTTGCATAGATGAAAAATTGAATATATGCGAAGATTAGCAAAAGGGTTCTCCCAAAACTATAATTAATACTTTGCTTTCTCCATATGACAAAACATTCTTCTCCTTTAGACTCTTCTTCAATCCTATTTATATATATATTCATCCTTCTGAGTCATTCTTCAATCTTATTCATTGATCTGAGTTATTTTGCTTGCTCCTTCAAAGCTTGACAATGGCAGTGAACGTTGATGCAGAGTACCTCAAAGAGATAGAGAAAACTCGTAGAGACCTTCGAGCTCTCATCTCTTCCAGAAACTGTGCTCCCATTATGCTCCGTCTTGCGTAAGATCTTTGCTCTCAGAATCATTCTCCGTTTTTCTTTCTTGTCTTAATGTTTACAAATGCTAATTACTGTGTGTATATAGATGGCATGATGCAGGAACCTATGATGCCAAGAAGAAAACCGGAGGTCCCAATGGATCAATCAGGTTCAAGGAAGAGCTAAACCGTCCACACAACAAGGGTTTGGAGAAGGCAGTCGCTTTTTGCGGTGAGTTTATGATCAAACCTTTACTCCGTTGCTACTACTCTTCAGGACCTGACAATAACGGTTGCTGTTTCCTTTGATGTCTAAATTTTGGTTTCAGAGGAAGTAAAGGCTAAGCATCCGCGAGTCTCTTACGCAGACCTCTATCAGGTAAACATGGTGTAATAGCATCTCTAAGCCATTAAACTCATGAATACTTTCGTTCCCGTTGATGGTTAGCTTGACAACTTCTTTGGTTTCATTTCAGCTCGCTGGAGTTGTTGCAGTGGAGGTTACTGGGGGCCCTGCAATCCCATTTACACCAGGCCGTAAGGTAGTTACACTTACCGCTAAAGGTTATGCGTTAAATCATAGTTGCTAAGTAAGTTTACTAATGTTGAGAAACATGATATCAGGATGCTGATTCCCCGGACGATGGAGAACTTCCAAATCCAAATGAAGGTTACTCCCGCAGTTTGTAGCTCCTGCAACAGAATTCTATTTCACAGACTGACTAATCCCTCCTTTTGTATTATTGCAGGTGCCTCACATTTAAGAACTCTCTTCTCCCGTATGGGTCTATCGGATAGAGACATTGTAGCTCTCTCTGGGGGTCACACTTTGGTACTAATTACTAACTTTCCTTCAAACTTTTCCCCAGTCACTAAACATGCTCCAATGAACCAACTTGGTTGCTACTTTGTATATAGGGGCGTGCACATAAGGAGAGGTCAGATTTCGAAGGTCCTTGGACACAAGATCCTCTCAAGTTTGATAACTCATATTTCGTGTAAGCCAACAACAAAATCACACAGAGTTAAAGTGAGAGAGAGTGAGAGTTCTGAAACTTACAGTTTCTGCTGATTGTTTTTCAGAGAGCTTCTAAAAGGGGAGACGCCAGGATTGCTACAACTGAAAACCGACAAGGCTCTACTTGATGATCCAAAGTTCCACCCTTTTGTTAAGCTGTATGCAAAGGTAGATCAGATTTCACTACGATTATAAGAAACGTTTAGTTTGGATGATTCTCTGGTTTCATCAATACAAAAATGTATTATGATGTGTATGTCAGGACGAGGATATGTTCTTCAAAGCCTATGCAATTTCACACAAGAAACTTTCAGAACTAGGATTTAATCCGCCAAGAAGAATTCCTTCAGCAGTGACGCAGCAGACGCTTGGAATCGCTGTTGCTGCAGCTGTGGTGATCTTTACCATATGCTACGAAGCAAGCAGAAGAGGCAAGTGAAGAGGTTTCGCAGATGCGAAAACGGATAAGAGAAAACTTACAAATGTTCATTGAATGTATGCAATAAATAAAAAGATTTATGCAATGTTACCTCCATGCTCCTTTTCAAGCTTCAGTGCTTTGGAATCGCCCCCAAAATTATGGATGTGTTACATAGCAGTATGTGAACTCTCTCTCACAACAGTGACCACTTTTACCAAATTAAAGAAACATAGTTTAACTGAGAAACGAACTATGTGAATGAGAAGACTAAATTTCTATAGGAGGAACCAGGAGTATCAATAGCTGATTAGGTTGCAATAACCCTCCAACTTTTGATGACTCATGGTTTACAAACAATCTGACTCAAGAAACCATGTTCTGTGCTCGGGAATAACATAGAAATACACCATTAGTAAATTCTCTATTCAAGAAATGAGATATATCGAGGTATCTCGGAAGAGATTATACAGATAGAATATCATTTCGTAGTAGCAGCATAACATTTATTCTTCAGAACCACACATTAACATTGAACATTATCATGGGCAAAATCAAAAGTCAAACTTGATAATTAGGTTCCTCAGCGACAGATACTTAGCCAGTAACCCACTAGCATCTATCTTATGAGACCCTGACAAATCAAGAAAAACTAAAATCAAAGTGCCCTGAAACTATCCGTTTTATCTAGTCTGGCAGTACCAGAGCTTGATGATTCGCCAACTGGATCAGGAGAAGTTGCTGCTCTAGAAGATTCTCTTCTATTCAGAGAAGTTGGCAATCCTGAGATCTCCTATAAAAGTAGCTAGAGTCATCAACCTTAAAATGTTCATACTCAAATCACACTAGATGGCTGAAACAATTCAATAACTTACCTTCAACAAATGCAACCTCATGTCAGTAGGACGAGTCTGGTTACCGATGCAGGCCATTGCAAACTTGGAATAACTAAACAATACATCGGCAGCAGCTTGCTTCTTCTCATCAACCTATAAGAAGATATCATCAGCTAAACTTTTCAATAATAATTAAACAAGAAAACCCAAAAGTCAAGAACTTCATTAAGAATCCGAAAGAGAGAACTCATGTAAGAGTAATCATGAATCGTCTTGATCAAAAAGGAAGTGATACCATTCAATAATAATCCTAAAGCTCAGATTTTTATAAATTGTTATTCCCCATTCCATTAACATTGAAGAAACCATAATTTGAATACTTGATCCTTCAACAATGAATCAACATCTTGAGGTTCATGGCCCAGATTAAAAGACACAGCTTTGATCCCTAATAATCTGAATTTCAAAACACAGAAAGAATTCAATAAAAGCCGAAGAATTAGAAATCAGAAGTCACACCTCGTAATCTTCTGTCATGGCGGAGAAGCTTATTCCTCTGTTTGGCGTTGCTGCTCTCCTCTGGTCTTGTGTAGAAGACACCTACCACAAAGTGACCCTACTTTAGCTAATTTGGTCGGAGCTTCGAATTTCCAGAAACTCCAACCTCGCAAGGTCGAAATCTGTTATAAGGGACTATCCAGATATTAGTAGGTTTGTTTGATAATTTCTCTTAAATTGTGGGGCTGAAAGTAGAAATAAACACTATTTGTGTTACCATAAAACGCCGTGTAGTTTATTTTGGGTACGTAAAAACGACCAAGCTTGTGACATCATCACTTAATTACTTGTCCGAACATGTTTTTGATCAAATCGAAGGGTCTTTTTTCTTTGGTTTTAGGATTTGATTTTGTTCTTATTAAAAAGATCAATCAGTATACAAATCGACGAATTATTGGAAAGGTTTGTTCAATTTTAAGGTTTAGCATATTGTTGACTATTAAAGAGACAATAAAACACGAAATGCTTTTGATTTGGATTAAACTTGCGAGATATCACAGAACAAATCGTACTCACTTTAATAACCTATTTAGCGGTCACCAATCAAACCAATTATCTAAAATTATATCTATGTTTGTATAAATCTCATGATTTTTGAAGAAGCAAAACACTTTGCATCAACAACAACACAACAAAACCTAATCTTTTTAAAACCTCTATAGTCTGTTTAATCCTTATTTACCAAGGCAATGAGATTGATGTACAAATAACACAACATCCATTAGCCTACTTAGAACTCTTTTTTCCCTTCTTTTTCTCTTTAGCTGCGGTTTTAATTGCGGTTTTAGCGAGTGATGATGGCTTCATGGCACTCTTGGGGTTAAGAGCTTGTCTGATCTTGAAAACGGTCCATGCCGTTCCAAAAGCATGCCCTGCTGCGCTAAGCCCTTCATTTGTCGCCTGTGCTGTCTTTGCTCCATACCTACAAATAACATCCAAAACATTAACTATTCGAACAATAAAAGATTGAAACCACCAATGCTGTTTAGGCATGAACACGTACACTTTTAAAAAGTCACTTACTTGTGATCGACGATTTCAGTAGCGACAGTGGAAGATGTTTTCATAACGTTCCTTCCCGCTACTTCAACAGCATCACAAACCTTGTCTGTCAAAACAATAAAAGAAAACAGCCAAAATGCATATCAGAAGAAGGAACCTCCAATAACATCATCATCATGATCATGAAGAAAAGATCTAAAGCAACTTACTGAATCCATCAAGTGTTGCAAGAACCATTTCTCCAGGAAGAAGTCCAAAGAGTTTCTGCCCAGCTTTGCTGTTTATCACTGAACTCGAAAAGAATCCAGAAACTTTAACAACACCAGAGAGCACACCATTCGCCACTTTCTCTGTCATTTTCGTCATCTTCTTCACTCTGTTACATATAAACTCAAAACCTCAATAAAAAAAAAAAAACACAAATCTCAAAGATAGGCAAATAAAGATTGTACCTTTTGAGACGTTTCAAAGTTCCAGGACTAACTTGTCTCTCTTTCTCTGCTTTAGACAACTTCTTCTTCATGAAATCATTTCCCCACATGAGCCTATCCATTGTGAGATCACCACACCATAAGATCCCTTTTATCAATTGACCAGAACCAGCAGCGATCAGTTTCGCTGCAACTCCACTGTAATCCTCAACATTCGGAGCCAGGGTCGTCCAATAAGCCGTACATTGCTTCTCCACCATCTTTTTCCTCTTTCCCTTCAGCTCCTCCGGTGAAGTCTCCTTCGCCGCCGTCAAATCCAAAACGTTCTCTTCCTTCTGTTTCTCCTCCGCCGTGAAACTGCTGTAATCAGCTAATATCTTGTCTAGCTTCTCCAGCAACGGTTCTTGACCTTTGGAAGCGATTGTTAATCCGTAGTTCAACATCTCGTTCTCTGCTTCGTTGACTGAATGATCCGATGACCCGGATTCTTTAACGGGTCGGAGCGAGAAGAAGTAATGAGACTCGTCGACTTTAACGGCGGGTTCGTCTTTAGTCAACGGCCATTGGATCTCATCGGCGACACGAGCAAAAACCGCGACGGTGATATCTCCTTGAACAAGACGGAGAATCTCGAGATCGCCGCAAGCGAGCTCTACGCTATAGGATTTGTCGATGAGGTGGAGCATCGCACCGTGGATTGTCAGAATCACTTCCTCCGTCGCGAGAGGAGGAGCTGAAGCTGAGTCAGAGGCGGTGGGATCCGGGAAGATATTGTTGACAAGATCATTCACATCGATTGAAGGATAGAGATTATTATTAGTACAAGAGGAGGAAGAGGAATTAGGGAGAGGAGCAACGGTGGTTGAAGTGTCGACGGTTGGGTAAAGCTTGGGACGAGTTGCAGAGCATTCCATTATCGCCGGGATTTAGGAGGAGGAAGACGAAGGGGAATGGAAGAAGAAGAAGTGTTGGTTATTTATATGAATTTGAAAAAGATTTGGGGCAAAAGTAGAAAAAGTGAAAAGATTAGTGATGGAAGAAAGCGAATCTGTTTTGATTAAGTATTAAGTAATCTTGCTGTCGGAGATAGGAAGACGTGGGGGTTGCGTGTTTCAAGAGGAGCTTACTTTGTCTTAACCGGGCCGGTTTAAACTTAACTATTTTAAGGGATTTTCCCGCGTTTATCCAAATTTTAATTTGTTTATATCCAAATTTTAATTTGTTTATATCCAAATTTTCTTTTTGGTGACTGTATATTGTACATTTGTTTATTGCTTATCCACTTTTTTAGTGTCATATTAAACAAGAATAATTCAAGTAATTAATACTAGAAAACATAAAAGTATGTCACATGTTATTTTTCTATTTTGATAGATATATGTTTTAGAATAAATCCAATTGCATTATCTCATTTCACTTTATAAATTAGTACATTTTTTGAAAATTAAATCAAAGGAGTTTAGAGTAATTAAAACTGTATAAATAATTAGGATTAAGAAAATCTATAGAGTGAATAAGATTTATTTCTAACATTCCTCTTTATCCCTTGACAATTGTCTTTTGACTTTTGAGTTTATCAGTTGTGTTGTCATCTTTATGTCACTTTTAATATTAATTACAAAATAAGTCCTCAATTTTAAAATAATTAACATCATGAGAATATAAATGTTACTGTACTTCACAAGTTGACAAATTATTTTCACTGTACTTTGTTTGACCCCTAAAAAGGCAAATTTAACTGTACCAAAAAGAAAAAGTAAAAAACAAAACTAAAGTTCGCAGGAAAGCGAAATCGTCATCTTCCCTGTTTAGTCTTGTAAGAGAAATTCAGATTCCGGCGGAGAAAGCTATAACGAGATTCTTCAATGGATCCCACTTCTTCTTCTTCTTCTTCCTCTGCTCTTAGATGGAAAATTCTTCGCCAAGCGCTTCTCCGTAGATCTGGTTTAAACTCCCTTCGTGCATCCATATCTCGATTTCACATTCGCATAGCTAATGGATCATCTCTAAATTTTCCTCAGATTCTCAATCTCAAGCTGAGACCAATCGGATTTCAAGGAAAGCAACTCAAGGATTCAACTTGATTCCTTGTCAAGTGGTGGATTCTTCTCCGCAATCGGATAAGTCTCGTGAAGCATGCGTTTGCTACACATTTCCCATCACTGGCTCTCCCAAACTCTATCTAACGTTAGGATTTGATCTGATATTTTCATCAAATGAAACAATGTTACGCCTTGTTCTTATCTCCTAAGAGATTCTCTAAAATTTATGCAGACAAAGAGTGGATAATTGCAGTGATCTCAATGACTTCGAGATATCTAATCGATACAACATTGATAACACTGGACTTGTCTGTAAGTTCTCATTCTGATTGTATCTCTTACTTGTCTCTTGTGTTATTGTCACTTAAATTAGTGTATTTGAAACTTTATGGTATAATGTTGCTGCTCTGCTCTGTGTATTTGGCTTGTTTGCGGCTGATACAATCGCTAAACAAAGTATATCTGCTTGAACTTTTAGTATGTCAATATACAATTTAGCATTAACAAATAACAATGATTCAAATAAGTTAAGAACAAAAAAACATTGAGTTGCTTGGGGAACTATAATGTTATTTAAATTGTGATTCTCTGAATTCATAACTTAGGCTACATTGTTCCAGGTCAATGGCCCTCAGAAGAAGTTCTAGCATACTTTTGCATGTCTCAGCCAGAACGATTCAGGTTTTTGTGTTCAGTTTTAAGACTGATTTGCATCTGTGTTCTTATAAGTACTTACATTTCACTTGGCTCATTGGGATATTGCAGAGGTAAAAGAGTAATTGAGCTTGGATCAGGGTATGGATTAGCCGGTTTAGCTATTGCAGCTGCCACCGAGGCATCACAAGTGGTAATCTCAGATGGAAATCCCCAAGTAGTCAATTGTATCCTACATGTTTTGTTTAGTTGTTGTGCGTATACGGTTTCATTAGAGTTGTCTTCTTCTCTGGCTGAACCCTTGAGATATTGAAACTCAATTTGTTTTGGATTCATTGATGTACTTAACATCCAGATATTAAGCGTAACATAGAATCCAACTCCATGGCATTTGGTGGCACAAGCGTTAAAGCCATGGAGTTGCACTGGAATCAGCATGAACTTTCAGAGTTGACCAACACTTTCGACATCATAGTTGCAAGCGATTGGTACCTTGCTTTCGATCTCAGTCTTCCCCTTTATCGATATGTTTTTCTCATCCCTTATACACGTATTTCTATGATCCAACAGTACTTTTTTCAAGGAATTTCATAAGCACCTTGCAAGAACCATCAAGATGCTGCTTAAAGTCAAAGAACCCTCGGAAGCATTATTTTTCAGTCCTAAAAGAGGTGACTCCTTAGACAAGTTCTTGAAGGAGATTGAAGATATTGGTTTACACTACGTCTTAACCGAAAACTACGATGCACAAGTTTGGAAACGTCATGAGACGCTTGTGAAAGGAGACGACGCTTGGCCTAACTATGACAAGAATCATTGCTACCCTTTCCTTATTCAAATTACGAATCATATTTAGTCAAGACTGTCATATTTGCGGCTATGGAATGGCGAATAAACGCAGGTACACCAAATCTCTCAAGCTTTGTTTTAACAAATTGTGTTTTATGGATATAATATCAAGTGGGTGGACTTGAAAGTTGAAACCTTTTGACTCTCTGTAAGATGCTCTTATCTTCCCTTTTTAGTATGGAGAGGTCCACACCACACATACACACTAGTTAGGCAAAGCCGTTCAATTAAAGTGAAGATATAGAACAATATAAATAATTAAAGCTATAAGATTCTAGATCAAGTGTACTGCCATTGATGAACTACACATCAAACTTTTCTTCATTCTAAATCCGGCTTTTTGAATCTAACTTCTAGTTGTCTTTTCTTGTTTTCTTACTGCTGAAATAAACTTTTGTGTACTACTATTAAGGGCATTAATAATAACCGTTTGGGAAATGATAGAGATGACTAAGGAATCATTTGAGATGGACCCAAATCATCTTCCTATCTAGAAGAATCTTTGTTTTTGCGTATATGTGTATGTGTCTAATTGTGATCCTCAATATGACTGGAGCCATTATGAAACCTTTTCTGAAAACATATATATATCTCTTTGTACATATTGATTTCAGAACTTATAATTTATTGAATTATGCAGCTCATGGGAATGATAGAAGATGACGAATCTAATATTTAATTGAAATTTCCCCTCAAAGTGACAAGCTTTGCCTTCACTATTGAGGAAATTAACAGTTCCCTCTCAATTATTTTGACCCTTCTCTGTTTCTACTTCTCTCTCAGTTTTTTGTCATTTTTTCGCAGTAACCAAAGCTACAAGCTGATCCAACAGAAGATCAAAAGGAGAACAAAAGAAGCAGTATTTATAGTCGCTTCTCCGATAGCCATAACCGCGTAATAAGAACTCGCTAATGACGCTTCTTCTATCGGTTGTTGTATCTCTGTACTCGACGAAGTTCCAGAACCAGTTACATCTCCTGTATCATCAGGAGGTGGTTCTCTTGAAGACTTCAAACTGTTTCACACAATACAAATACATAAATTCAAGCTTTGATCTTTATAGACCAAACTCTGTCTTTCTTTAACTGTTTTTTGTGACTAATTGTGTTTCCTTACCTGGACAAGTTGGGACAGAAAGTGATGGTGTAATCAGTATCACTACAAGTGAAAGTACTTGTGGCATCATCGTACGCGTAACTGTACGATTTAGGACAAGCTGATTTAAAGACTTGAGAATAGATCGATGGCTTGCAGGTACCAGGTGAACCGTATGCGCCACTGCAGCAATACTCTGGTGTTCCAAACGCCTCACACGCACTTCTACAAGCCAAACCGCTCTTGGCTTTTAGCTCCGTTGGGCAATTCTGGTTTAAGTCCGTGACACACCCTGTGGTGGGGCACAAACCAGAACCCTCCACGATCATGGGGAGGTTATAGCCATCAACGAGGCTGACATCATAAAAGTCTAGAGACCTGGAAACGCCGAGAGTGAACTCGGCTAATGTGGCTGGCGGTTCAGCTCCGGATCCGTTGCATTCCATCTCGCCCGAGCCGCAATCTCCGGTGGAGCAGCTCGTGGTACTACTAGAACCATCAAAGTTGCAGCCGGTACGGCCCCAAAAGCGACCAGACCAACCTGCTGGTGCTCGGAAAGTGCGAGAGGTATCTTTGGAGAGCTCGAATCCGGTGGTATCAAGTTTGGGACTACCTGAACCGGATAAAGTCCCTGGCCACACCGGGAAATCGCATTTGTTAACGAGCGTGAACGTTGTATATTGTATACATACTTGAACACTGTGATTACCCGCCACTTTTAAAAGCAACGAACTTAACTTTAATTAAGATAAGTTGATTTGGATACCTAGAGATATCTCTTATCTCTTTACAAGCATCAATATACTTAGCTAGATGATTGATTATATGGCTCTATAATCAGATTTCAAAATTGAAAATTTGAACATTTATTTATTTATTATGTTATTTGAAACCTTAAAACGCATTACTAATCAAATAATTCTGCAAGCAAAACTGTTATATATCTTACATACACCATAAAGACACAACATTTGTCTAAAAAAATTACGTAGAAACTAATACTATAACTAATCAAATCTAAAATAAGTTGTTCTTCTACAAATTATCACCTCGAAATAATCACTCCTCGACTAAACTAATCAAATTATCATTGTTTTTCTTCAATGATCTTTTCTTTCTCTTGGTGAAGAAAATCTCAAATGATGGATGTTATTAAAAACTCAAAACGTCGCCGTACAGGGATCACCAAACAAGTTGCATCGCCCGAGACGCGGCGACAGTCAAAACGCCAATCGAAAACACGGCAGAGAGAGTTGGCGACGCGTTTGGAGTTGCCGTAGAGTAGCTAACAGCTTCGGGTTGGAGTCCTTTCGTTGCACTCTTCACACTGAAAGACAAATTATACAAAAAACAAATTTTATTAAATAACGTTTTCTAAAAAAATATTTGAATTATTTCTGCCATGTGAACAAAAGAGCCGTGTTGGACCACAATTTACCGACGTTTGAATGAAAAAACCTAATGCATACAACAGAGAACATTAGATATTTTCTATTTTTATTTATTATGTTGATATAATTATGCCAACGGTTGAAAATGTAAATGTCGTCTTGTCATATGATTTCACAAATTGACAAAAGAACACGGACTATTATGAAAAAGTATGTGCCATGATTTTTATTCGGTGATTTGACCTCATTCAAAACGTTACCCAAACAACAAAAGGTGAATTATTCATCTCTAACATTATCAAACTTTTGAATGTGATATAAAAAAATCGAAACCGGACTTCTTCTAAGGGAATCAGAACCAAACTTTTTCCCCTTTTTCAATATGATTTGATAGGATCATCGGAACCAACCTTTTTAATTAGCAAAAATGTACCAATTGTTTTTTTTTTTTTAAATATTCGAATTCGTGTTTCCACTTGAAGACTATCATATATTTTCGTACTTTTTGGTAAATAATGGAAATAGAAATATTTACCTTGGGTTAGGAGAAGGACAGAAAGTGATGACGTAATCAGCTCCGCCACAAGTGAAGGTACTAGTTCCGTCGTCGTAAGCGTAACTATAAGCTCTCGGACACGCGTTTTTGAAGAACTGCGAGTACTCGCTCGGCTTACACGTGTCCGGCGTTCCAAACGCGCCGCTACAGCAATACTCCGGCGTCCCAAACGCCTCACACGCGCTTTTGCAAGCTACTCCTTCAGTTCCCGTCGTCGCCACTTTCAGCTGAGCAGGACACGGACCGTTGAGCTCCGCAACGCAGCCGGTGGTCGTGCAGTTCCCGGCGACGCCTCCAGCATCTCCGCCTCCCTGAGGGACGATGGTCATAGGGATGTTGTAACCGTCGACGAGACTGACGTCGTAGAAATCGAGGCCATTGGCTCCGTTTAGGGTGAATTCAGCGAGTGTCGCAGGCGGTGCAGCCCCGGATCCGGAGCATTCTACGGCGGAAGAACCACAGTCTCCGGTGATGCAAGTGAATTTTCCGGTGGTTGCGTCTTGTGTGCAGAGAGTACGACCCCATATACGGCCGGACCAAGCGGCGGGGATTGGGATGACACGTGTCTCGGTAGGGTTTAAGGAGAATCCGGTTGTTGGTAAAGGAGAGGTTCCGGCGCCGGAGAGAAGTCCAGGCCAGACGGTGTAGCTGCACTGGTTAACGATGGTGAAAGTGGTGGAGGAAACTCCATAGATTAAAACAAGAATTAGAAGAAGAAAGAAAGAAACTTGAGATTGACCCATCAGAGCAGAGAGTCACCAGAATCTAAATATATAAAGTGTTTTTCTTGTCGCCGGAGATGAGTTTTCCGGTGACTCTGTTTCTGCTCTCTCGAGAAAATCTATAAAGAGTGTAAATGTATAGGCTCTGTATTTATATGGTAAGAGAATTTAGAAATTAGAGTGAGAAAGAAATAGGAGAGATAGAGAGGTTTAAGGGGATTGAGTCTTTTTAAAGGGCTTGAGATTTTTAGAAAGGTCGGCTTCACGTGAGCCCATGCCGCCTTTGTCTATGTCAGTCGGCCAATGTGTCGTACATGTTCACGTTATTATTATTTTTTAATGGGGAATAAAAATATGTAGAAAATATTGTTTTGAATCATAGAAATATTATTATATCATGTTCTTAATTGTTTTTTTGTATGATTCGTGCAATATGGGTTGCATATGGATATGATCAGTGTTGATGTCGCTGATCTAAATAGAACTTGTCTCCTCCTTTGGCTTAAATAATATTAGACGATCCATTACTTTGTTTGTAATTTTTTTTTCCTTTTTTGTTTATGTAAAAGAGCAGAGCGAAAAAAATATATTGTTTGGTGGGTTACCCAATCACTAACGCAGACTAATCACCATAAAATGGGAATGTATCGAAGGAAAGAGGCTGTGAACAAACAAAAAAAAAGCTGACAGAGAAAACGTAGTGTGTGATGCCATCCTTAGATTCTGCCTTCTTCTCTCTTCCAAGGGACACGGTCTAACGAGTATCTATCTTAGCTACTATCCACCCAAGTTGTGTTGTGTCACTGTTAATTAATTATTACAATTATTACAAGATGACAAAACTAATATGATGATGTTTGATATTTCGTGAGCCTCTCAAAAACATCTATCTATTTAGTATTCAAACATGAACATACATTAAAAAAGGTTCAGGAGAGGAATACAATTTTTATTTCATTTTTGAGTTATTATGGGAAATAGACAGTGGCTAACGTTGGATGGGAATTTCGTAAGATTGTTTTTATAAAGAAAGGGTGCTGGGTCAACGACATTTCCAAGCTTTTATTTGTGTGATGTAGAGATATCAACTTGGTTGGTTCATGCTTCTTCCATTCTTACAAGTTATTTGTGTTTGACCATGACATGTAACTGATTCTTATGTTTAAATAGGTTTAACAAATACCACAAGTTGGGTAGGTCTCATGTCTGTTTTATACTATGCAAACTTATTTAATTCATGAGGATTTGACATTCTTTCCAAACATCCAAGCAATTTTGGTATGACTGATTAGAGATTTCGCTATTTTTTTGCGTTTATGTTTAGTGTATAGTTCTATGAAATGAACTATAACCTTTAAATCCGCTTGTGGTGATAAGGTGGTTGAAGATCTGTGTTTTTGGATGTAAACTAGTAGAAGTTCCAGGTTCGATTCCACCTCGAATAAAATTGATGCACATGTGACTACTTTGACTCAGATTTGATGTTAATTGTATGATTCTCATTGTGTGAAAACTGACCAAATATCATAAGAAACGGATCCATAACACTATTGCTCATTAAGCTACTATTTCAAGAGACGTCTAAAATGGCAATGGAACTTGGTAGTTAGTACCATGAAAAACATGAGTGATTAATGCGATCTGACTCATGTGAGATGATTAGTAAGAGTCTGGTTGATTGGATCCAACGATATAAACACAAGGAGATGTGGATGATGTTTAACCTGATAAGGTTATATGTGTGTTTTATTATAATCTAACCAATGATCATATGATTTTGTGGGTATCAATGGACAGGAAAAGGTGAACACGAAACTTGGGTTTCCAATTTCTTCTATTAGGAAGATTCGTCATCAGTCTTGGATTTTGTTAATAGTGTAATTAGGTTCAACCTTTTAACCCCCACAAGAAAACGACAGTGACATTACCTAAATGACTGTACAAAGCAGGTAACGATTAACCAGATCATAGTGAGGTCATTACTTAAGCCGTGTCCACGAGATTGTATTTGGTCCATTATTGGTAATGGTAAGAAACCGTGACATTGCATTATTATTCCACCAATTCACAGGTTACTAATCAATAGATTGGATGGATCTTGTGACAGTTATGGCAATGAGTTTAAAAGTGTCGAACTTGGGACGTCATGCGTCATGCCTGTGATGCTAATAGTCAAAACATACAAGTACAAAAGCAATAAACTGAAACCAGCAACACTTTAACAAAAGCCAAAAGGACAAAACTCAAACCTGATGACATAAGCAATATGAGGTCAAAATTTCCAGAAACAGATAGAAGAAAAAGAGAGCATCCATATCAGAGAAACAAATAAAGCTAAAAAACTTGTAATAGTTATAACAAAAGGGGGATTCACTCTCTGTATAATAATAAAACCTCTAAAACACCAAAAGGACCAGGCAATTTCATTCCCATCAACAAAAAAAAAGATAAATGAAAACGAAGAGAAATATATACCAAATTATATAACTCGATTCAAATTCATTCTCGTTTTTTGTTGATTAGGAAATCGTTTAAGCTACGGAGCATTCCCTTGCAAAGTGACCTTCCTTACCGCAACTGTAGCACTTATTACCACCACCACCTCCACCGCTTCCTCTCTGTTCACAATCACGAGCCAAGTGACCAGAACCACCACACTGGTAACAACCACGAGAAGGCTGTCTCTTAGTCGCACACTCTCTTGCAATGTGACCAACTCCACCACAAGTGTAACAAGATCCACTACCTCCACGGTCACCACCACCACCGCTTCTGACGTTTCCGGCAGCCACTTTCTGATTACCACAATCCCTAGCAAAGTGACCAATGTCACCACAATTGTAACAACCATCTTTTCCAGCTCCGGCTGCTCCACGTTGGTCTCCGTTTCCAATTGATTTCTGAGTACAATCCCTAGCGAAGTGACCAGCATCACCACAATTGTAACAACCTTCTCTAGATCCACGTTCACCACCTCCGCTACCGCCACCACATTCCTTTGCAATATGACCTAACTCACCGCAATTGTAGCAACCGCTTCCACCGCCGCGCCTAGCACCGTTACCACGAGAGTTATTCTCCTTCTTAAGAGCACCACCACCGAGAGCAGTAACCTCGACGGCTTTAGTCTTACCGTCGCTTCCCTGAGTAATAGCGAACTCAACCAAATCGCCTTCAGCTAAACTCCGGTAACCTTCGGAGACAATTGAGGATTGATGAACGAAAAGCTCTTCGCTTTCGTCGTCAGGAGTAATGAAACCATAGCCTTTCGAATCGTTAAACCAGTTAACCTTCCCGGTAGATCTCGCCGCCGATTGATCCTCTGAAGCCATCGCGAAAAAAAGAGTTGAAGAAGAGATTGAGAAAATTAGGGTTTTAAGTTGGGAAATCCGTAGGCGTGTGTGTGTATATATAGAGGTCGAGTGGGATTAAATCTGTAATTAAAAGGAAATTAGTGGGAAAACCCTAATTTGAGTGGAATGTAATTAAACCCTAATTTGACTCTGCCGCCCTAATTAAAATTTTTGGTGGAAGATTCTTCGGGACTGGGGAATTTTGGAAACTTGCCACTTTACTTTTTCTTCTATCCGCGTCGGTTTATCAGGTGCGCACGCGTCCACACTAAAGTTTTAATCGTGGCCGTACGTTATGATTTCCTTTAGTGAATCGCGATAAGATTGGGACCTTAGTCCAATTTTTACATTGGGCCTATTGTTACTGGACCAAGATTTTTACTCTGATGGGCTTAGTCTGGATTCGGTAAGGTTTTTATTTATTTCTTTCCCTTAAAACAGAAACTACAAATCTTATCAGGCGTCCACGCTAGAGTTTCAATCGTGACCGTACGTTATGATTTAGTGGATCGCGATAAGATTGGGACCTTTGTCGAATTTTTACATTGGGCCTATTGTTTGTGGTCCAAGATTTTTACTCTGATGGGCTTAAGTTGGATCCGTGATGGCTTTTTTTGTTCTCTTTCCCAATTCGGCTCGTTATTAAATCAAGATATTTTTAGTTTTTTAAAAACCGAAATTACAAATCATATAGTTTTGCTGATGATTTTCACAACTACAAATTATAGAGATTTATTAGTCAAATTGAAACTAGCCATAGAACTTATACATAGAATTAAGATTCTAAAAATGCATATTATTGCAATTCAGTCAAGCATGGTTTTGCTAATGCTTTTCACACCGACAAAATGGTGGTGATCTCTCATTGCCATGCCAATATACAAATTTTAATATTGGAAAAAGAAAACTTTATACAACTTTTTGATAGTGGTGGAGGTTAAAAACAGAGTCACCTACATAAAAATCATTTGAATAAATGTGGAAATCAAATCCTAGTATTTTCTAACGGGATCCAGAAACAATAATTCATTCAGTGGAAATTACAAGTGAAAGCCTCTAGATCCTCTGGATTGGTAAAGCTCGAGTCTGCTCTTAGCTTCATACAACAAAGCTTCCATATCTTCATCTTCAATTACATTAGCTTGCTTCGATGACCATTCCAATACCGTTAACACTTCGTCTTTTGCTAACTGTTCACTGTCTGGAACATTCATCGCCACGTAGCTCAGCAAAACCATCGCCGGAATCTGAGCTCCGTTCTCTCCGAAATACGCTAGTTGAACTAGAAGCTTTGATCCTCCAGCTTCGATGATCGTCCTCGAGTGATCTTTTCCTAAAAAGTTATCCTCTGTCGCGAATTTCGCTAACGCGATCGCTGCCTCCGCCGCTAAATCTGGTTCTCCGTCGTCGAGGAGTTTAACCAGAGGCACGATCATATGCGTTTCCGCTGATTTGAATGTTCTAGCTAGGTTTCCGATGGATCTAACACAGGGGATGAGTAAATCGGATCCGGCGTCGGCGTTTTCAACGATTCGGAATAATTGGTCAACCACCGCTTTGCACGCCGGTGAAGTGCGTCTGAACGCGGATCTTCTCAGATCTGCGTTTTCTTCAGCCACGGCAGTTATCTCCATTATAGCCATCGCTGTGTTATACTTGGTCTCATCATCTCCTTTGTCTAGTAAAACCGCAAAACAGAGCAAAGCTCGTGACTCGGTGATGACTCGGCAGATCGATGAGTTTCCTACAGCGAGTTTCCACAACGCTCTCGCCGCCATCGCTTTCATGTATGTCTTCGTCACCGGATCTTCAAGCTCTCTCCCTCTCGTCACCGACGCGTTTCTCGATTGATGTGCCATACTACCGTAAGCTTTGAGCTGTGAACTCATACTATAACTCTTCTCCGGCACCTTTTCCGGCGGTTTCTCGTCGTCACCGGTAACAAATCGGTTAGACAGATTCGATTTCGATCCCGATCCAACCGCTTTCATCGCCATTGTTGTTGCAACGATGCTATGCATCTGATTCGGCATCGGATTCGAGATTCCCATCTGATTATCGTCCTCCTCCTCGTTCAACGCCGGTAAATTCTCTTTACTAGTACCGATTTTGCTAGCCATCACGACGGCGTGGTGCATCGACGTAGCTCTACCCGCAACAACCGCGTATTTGCTATGTTCTTGAACCGTTTCAAACGCTAAATGACTCACAAGAAGCCTAATCACGTTGTTTTGCGCGAACAGTTCTTGACATTTGGCGTGATTACCAGAAACAAGCTCTGAAACAGCCCAAGCCACAACGGCTTGAACCTTCATCGAGCCTTCTTTAAGAATACTTGAAAGAACTGAACAAACACCAAGCTGAATCATATGTTCAACACTTTCCGGGTCACGACCCAATAACCCGATTGTTCTCGCCGCGTTTTCTTGACCGTCGATTTTACCTTCTTTCAGAAGTTTTAACAAAGGGTTGACTCCACCTTCTTCAACTATCAATTTCACGTATCTGTCGTTATCTCTTGCTAACGAAGCCAACGACGCGGCGGCGTCGGATTTATCTTCCGGCGAACCGGTCATCAAAACCGCGATTTGTTCCCAAATTAAGCATAAGATTGGTTCGTTGGCTGCGATTGGTGGGAGACCTAAGTAACCAAACCCTTCGTCGTCGTCGTTACCGGCGGGAGTTGAGACACGGAGGAGCCAAGAGACATCGCCGACGGAGTTTTCTAGTTGAGAAATCATTTTACGGAATGCTGCGGCGGGGATTATGTTGAAAAGACGCATTATGTAGCCATCGTCACGGCATCTTTGGACCATCGTCAATGCTTTTTCAAGAACGTTTTCAGTGTCGTCGATGATACGGCGCGTGGGACGTTCGTAGAGGTCGGAGCTTGAGCGCGCCGCTTGACGGAGAAGAGCAGCGAGCTTTTCCGTTTTGGACTTGATTTCGGCACATTCTTGTTTGTTGATTGTGGCTTCATCACCGGCTTTCACGACTTGGTCTGCGAGTTGAATCGGTCGAGACAATATCTGCTTGGCTAGATCACCCATAGCTAACAAAACTGGTTTAGATCAAGAAAATCAGAAACGGATTGATCTTAATTTTAAGGAAAATGATGAAACATTTTGTTGGGGTTTGTATTTGGTTTGGTCTTTGAAACACGGTTTCTTTCATTTCTAATGTATTTCTTACAGAACACGCCGGTCGTCGCCGGCTTTCGTTGTCGGAGTAAATTACTTATTAGTACATTTACCAAGTCGTCTTAGCCCTTATCGTTCTTTTTTTATATTATTAAGCATATTCCATATTTTAAACTGTAAAGTATGCTAGCTAGGAAAATAGGACTTCAAAAGTTTATCAAGAAACGATTACAAAAACGATTTCAAATCTTCAATATTACTTTAATTGATTCCCAAGGTTAGCACACCTGTGTTTTGGGATTCTCATGGTTTAAATCCCCAATTCATAGAAGATAATATTACTTTATGAGTTCATGATATAAATTGAGCGTCGAAATAGAAAATTGTTGTGATTGGATAACTTATCTTGGGCCCCAAGGGACACATAACCAATTGATTGGCCAAAGCTAGTTGGGTTTTTTTAAAGCCGTGTGTGGCTACATCGAATGTTATAACCAACCATATTTATTTCTGGGCCATGTTTCACATTTATTTTGAGATTCTAAAAAAAAAGAAGATAACTACAGAATTATTCATACAATTCAATAAAACTATGTACTATTTATACTATTGCAAACTTTTTATTACCTTTAAGGCACATTCAGCAGCTCGCATGGACACGAACACAATCCAGAATTATTCATACAATTCAATAAAAAAGACTTAATCACTTCATGACCAGACTTCATTAATTCGATTGGATAAACTTCATGTCAATTCTTCCTCAACACTATTTTGAAGTAGTATTACAACTTACAAGATATTACAACACAAGTGGATCTAAATTATTTTTATATTTAATTATTTATATACACACATGCAAGCAAAATAATAGGACAAAATACTATAAAGATATTTGTCCCAAACAAGAAATAAAGTAATTACCTAACTAAATGATTAAAATCTTTTGTTTACGAATTGAGAGGGTTATGCGGCTTCTGCCTCGTTCGTTTTATGTTTACTGAACAAGCTAAAATAAGTTTTTCATTAAAAGTGAATAAATGGGTTCCATAAAATACAACTCTTAGGAAAAAAAAAAATACAACTCTTTTTTTTTGTTCTCCAAACGAAGACAACGTGGTTACAATGAATCTATATCTATAATCCACTCGAGCACGTCTTTCAGTTAAACGTTGAATCACATTCTATTTAGTAGCAACCAAAAAAATAAAATTTAATCACATACAAACAACAACAACAACAAAAGAGGAAGAGGAGCTACTAGTTGGAGGGATATTTGTTGCCTTCTTTTGCTTTCTATTTATCTTAGATAAAGAAAAAAAGGACACACTATCTATCTTTTAGCTTCTAGAAGGACATTGCTGGTTGAAATTTAAATAAATAAAAGTATTTACGACAAAAAAATAAAATAAAAGTATCTAATAAAAAAATAAGTCCCGACAAATTAAGATAAAAATACAGCAAAAAATAAAAGCGAAGAAGATCTAACGGACCTCTTATCAGTTTACTTTCCAGTTTCCACAAACTCACGGCGCGGGCCCGTACTTTTGTCGCCTCTAGGGTTCATTATTAAAACATGAGACCTAAAATATGACGTAGAACTTATTGTGGTTATCATTTTATCAACAAAGTCGTGCAAAATTTTCAACTAAGAACAATATGAAATTATGAATAGTCGTGCTCATTGATAAAATCAGTTCAGGCCTCCAAATTTATAGATCAAAATCTATCAAACTTAGCACTTGAAAGAAGTCGAAAAGTGATGGGTTTGTTTAGTTCACATGGAAAAAATCTTCTTTCATTGGCCGTGTTCACGTGTTCCAGTGGGCCAGAAGATCATAATCACTTATGGATGCATTATATCACAACTGTAGATATTCCTAAATTAGACGATATGTGTTTAACTCTATCCGTATCATAATAATAAAATTGTTTCACAATATTATCTTTTAAATATTGTTTAACTTATTAATCACAGAGTTAATATTGTAGTCTTGCTTGGAAAACAAAATTGTACTATAACTTATAAAAATGTCAGTTTTAACCCGGAGAAGAAGTGCTCAAATCAGTGCTTATTAGTGAGCTTCCCTTTCGGAAAATAGAAAGAAACCAAATATTTCTTCATCATAATGAAAATCAAACAGCTCTAATCAAAGCAAATATATATTTCTTCATTAATAATATAATTAACAATAGGATTCACAAGGTAAAAAACGCGTAGATCCTACGTAAACACGAAACAAACGGCACCGATCGCTCGTGGGGAGTGAGAGCGTATGGTAAGAACATGGCGTATGTTAGCACACTAGTTTCCGTCCATGTTAGCTTACTATACTATATTAATAATTACAACGTCGAGCCCAGCTTTTACGGCTTCGTATTTACACTAATTAACTCGGTCTAACTCGTTCACCGAGTCAACTCACTACCAGCACTGATCGGTTTCCCAGTTCCGTCCGACGTAACTACCGAGCCCGGAGGTACCAACGGTCAAAGGACGGCTCCGTCGCAACATCCTCCGATCATAAACAGAGCGTTTCTCAGGATCCGAAAGCGTACAGTAAGCGGCGTGGATCTTCATGAATTCATCCGCCGATGAAGAAGTCCGATCAGTTCCCGCCACGTCTGGATGGCAGATCCTGGCTAATCTCCGGTAAGCCGATTTGATATCTTGGCTCGTCGCTCCTAAAGGAACCTCAAGAATCTCGTAAAGCGAAGCTGGCGCCGTCGTCAACCGCCGCGGGATCTGATGCAATCTTGGCGAATCCTCCGCGCAGGTGTATGAGCAAGAGGCGGAGACGAGAGGTGGCGAGATCCGAGCCGTGCGAGACGGCGGAGATATCGGAGAGAGAGGCGGAGATGAAGAGAGAAACGGATGAGCAAAGGAAGTTGGAGATGAAGAAAGCATCGTTGCTATATGAAACGTTGTCGTTTTGGATTTTTGAGTTTCTTCTCTGCGTTTATTTTTGTTCGAGGAGAGGGAAAGATTGAAGAAGAAAGCTAATGGAGGGATATAATTTATAGGCGAAGAGGCGATTAGTCATTAATTGGTTAATTAAGATTTTGATTAGTTTATTAATTACATACTAAAACGGATATAGTAGGGCAAGTAGGATTAAGAGACGGGTCGGGTTAAGTAGGATAAAGTCGGGTCGGATCCTGTGATCTGAGTCAGAAGAAAAGGCTTATCCAGTTGGGGAAATAATTGCACAAGGGATAAGAATGTAGTACGTAAGATTTTATTCATAGTGGCCAAATTGCTCTGTGGCTGTAATTGTCATTTTAACATATTACAAAAATATAAAATCACGTTTTGGTGTTTTCTTAGTATTCTTTTTAATTAAATACTTTCATGCAAATTTTTTTTTTGTTAATAGTAGAAAAGTATTTTATGGTGGAAATTCAAAATAGGAATCTTCTTAAGAGTAGATTTTTTTTTTCTTTCTAATTGTTGTATGGAGACGTAATATCGACCGTGTATTGTTTGTTGGATACTGAGAAGACAGAAATAGATTTTTAGAAGATGGAGAAAAGTCTCTACTATATTTAAAGATTGCCTCCCACCATGCAAACATATTTAATATTTATGTGCTTTATTTTCTTCACTATAGGAATGGAAGTACAAGAGCCAAGAGGCCAATGGTAGTAATCTGCAAATTTGGTTCGTGAGAAATTGTTTTCTTAGCTCACAGAATTTAATGATACCAACAAACGGTGTTTTGTAGTACTAGATTACGATAAATAAAAATTATCAAATATTTTCAAATGTATCTTATTATGATAGATTACTAATGGTTGTCAATGTCATAATCAAGGAAAGTCGGTTTCTTTTATTTTTTTTTGCTAAACATTCAAATATTCAATAGAAGAAAAGTCGACTGAATTATTTTATTTCTTTTTGTTTTTTGTATTCTTCTGCGGGAGGTAAATCAAAAGAACCGGAATCACGGATGGAGATTAAATTAAGTGTAAATTAAACTCATTTTAATAAGTATAGGTCATTAAATTTTTGACTAAACTAACCTTTTGAAAATTGAAGTTTTATTGATAACCGATATGAGTAATTTATTTTTGAATGAACAAAACTACAAAAGATAATCACAAGTTTAAGTTGTTATCAAAAAACCATTACGTTGAAAAGTCTTAAACGGGACCAACTATGAAAATGAAAAGAGCTCGTGCCTATTACAATCAAATTCGACTCACCTTAGTCCTTAAACAAGATGATCACGTAGAAACCAATAGACCATAATTCTTGTTCTAGAAGATTGTGATTGTTGTAAGCAAACTATTGTAATCATATAATCTCTACTTCTTCTCCAACCACGTGTTTGGTCGACATCCCAAATTCCAATTGGTGTGGTAACTAGTGCCCATCGATTCACTTGTTTTTAGATAAACTTATCTTTGATCAAACAAATTTAATCATACCAATATTTTTGTAAATCATTTTAATCTTTTCTTACCTTTTAACATGTGAATGATGAGAAATATCTTGTTATAAAAAGACAGATTGTAGAAAATTTATGAATTTAACAAAGACAGAACTTACTATCTCCAAGTCTTTTGACATCTTCAAAAGCCAATTTTTTTTTTTTGGTTGTTGTTCACCGTTCAAAAGCCAAGTACTGTAATATAACATTTTTACATGTATAAATCGAATAAAACAATCGCAAGTGACGTCGAAGATTGACACCACCAATTTCGTGGGTGACACATTCCCTTCCATCAGCATTTTGTGCTTTCATGTCATCTTCCATATTAATATAAAGGAGATAAAATATTACATAATTCCATACACACATACGTATACGTATACGTATCCATGTGAATCAACATAACCTCATATAATCAAATTTCTGCAACTTGTAAATTTAGTATATTAGCTTCTATAAAGCTAAAAGTTTAATCACATTAGAAGAAACAATACATTATACAACGAGGAGGACAAGAGGGATAAATTGACAGAGACAGGAACGTGGAAAGAAGCTTCATCCAGCAACTTTACACATTGGTCAAGAGTCAAAACTCTTAGAGATTAAGATAACATTAACTATATACCGACATTGTCGAGTTTCTACGGTGTACCTGAGCTCACTAGATTAAAATCCTTGTTCCTCAATACTCAATCATGGTTGATCTCATCACTCTTTTACTTGTCTCTGAATTTTGATGAAGCCCATTTGAAATAACCACAGTTTGCTTCTGGATTAGAGGAAGGTCCCTGCAAGAGTTGTAGATATACTTAGCATGTAATTACCACGGTTAAAAAGACTTGGTTAAAATCTCTTTTACCTCAGCTCGAGAGCAGACGTAGAATCTGCGTCCAAATGTGGGACCTTGTTTCTTTACGACCCGAGCAACACAAGCTTCTTTATGTCCTTTGCAGAGAGGTATGCTGTTTTGCATTAGGTTTTGTATTCTTTGCCACTCCATTAAAGCTGCATCGTTCTTTTGTTTAGCTGAAGAACCGCTTTGATCCTGTTCCTGTGTTGAAGTAGTCGGTTCGCCGTCTTCTTTGCTGGAAACATTCGGTTCTGTGATACTTTCGGCTTGGGAGCTGGGACTGGAGGAAACATAGGAAGAAGAACTATCCCCGCCATTCTTAACCTTTGAGTTTGTAGTGAAAAAAGACTTGAGAGAAAGCTGAGATGATTGGATTTTCCTTGCTTTGTTCCTGTTTCCATCTCTAGAGATATTCACAGCTCTAACTGATGATACACGAATTCCATCACTAAGGTTATCAATGGAACCTGTTGATGCCACCGTTTCTGCTTCTGTAAAGGCACAAGTGGATTCGTTCTCAAAAGAACAAGATTTCTCAAGTGAAATTCCCATTGAAACACAGTTTCTCAGTGGTCCTGTAGAAATATCCCCACAACTTGACGAAGCATTACTTTGACTCGATGATGAACATGACACCTCAATGGCTTTGGCTTCTTCATTGGCCTGCCTCTTCATAAATACCGATACTGTTACAGTAAAAAACAAGTGAAGCAAATTATAAAAAAGATAGAGACAGGAATAACCTGGGAATATGAACCAATACATTACACCGGAAAATATATAGTTTACTGTACCAAGAGTTTGCTGGAAACCGTAAATCATGGGAAGATATCTCGAAGCTAATGGCGGCGTGCTGTGTTCCGGGATGTCTGGTAAATCATCAAAACTAGTGAATACAGGTACATGGTCTGATCCCTTCAATTTTGTACCTAATCCACCTTTCCACCTGTAGAGTTCAGAAGGTGATTCACAGTCAATTTGAGTCCATGTTAAATGAAAAAAGAAATCTTAAGTACTTAAATCTTTTAAGTTGAAACACACATGGGATCATTCTTGATCATCTACACTAACCTTGTTGGCATATTTTCATTCTTAAACCGCTTATACTCTGTTAATATGTCACATTCCTTGACATGGCAAGCAAGAAAACTATGGCCCTGCTTATCTTCGTCCTGATGCAAGCATGATCCAGCAACTAAGATATGATCAATCCTCGAACCGTAGTTAAATTGTTCTGCTCCAGTACTTGAGGACCAACATGTGAATGCATCTTTCCTGTGAGATATCCAGAAATAAGCAATCAATGGTAAAACAAACAGTTCAAAGAATGTTATAAAACAATGGAAAAGCTAAATATGGATGGCTCCCTCATAAACACAGAAGACGTTATCACACAATTTCACCTCTCAGGATGTTTTGATCTGAAGACATCAGAGAATGAGCCTCCACGTTCAACTAGCAGAGATCTAAACCACTTCCTGAACCTGCATTTTTTATTGGCATGAAATGAGAAATCTGATAGAAGAAAAAGTCTTGAGTAAAGCAAAACGATTTAAGCAGAACATGAATATTAGTATTTACATACTCGTTTTTCTCGAAATCAGGCCCAGCTTCACATCGATCCATAGCAAAAGGAGCAATGTTGAGATCCCCAACAACAAATACCCTTCTTCCTTGACGTAGAAGACACTCCCATCTTCTCTACAAGAAAACTAAAAAATAGTCAACCCAAATATCATTATAAGCCGAGGTATCTCATCGCAATATATTCAGAAACTGATAAGCTTACCTCTAAAATATCATAGAACCGATGCTTAAACTCAATTCTATCAGCATCATCAGCTACAGCTCGCGGCCCATAAACATTGAATACAACTGACAAAACACATAGATACATACAAACTGTAATAAAAATTTCATTTTTACACAAGAGAAGATACATAAAAAAAAGGATTTGAGTCATACCAAAGTGGCCGTGATCAGTTATAACACACCGTCCTTCTTGGTCAATCCTAAGAAGCTCTTCTTTCTCATATTCCTCAAGACCTTCAGCTACTGTAGAAGTTTCATTCTTCCCACCTCGTGAATTGCTGTTTACAAGACCAGTGATGCCTTCTTCTGCAGCAACAGGCAAAGCAGTTTCACAGCTTGAAGATGCTGACTTTACCCTGCAAAACGTAGCTACACCTGCAAATTTCAAGAACATAAAAACTCTTAACTTTTTACCATTTTCTCAAATTTTACTCAAAAATCTCCTGAAGACAGAGCTTGATGCTAACCAGAATAACCAGTACGACCTTTCTCACAAGTGCGAGTACACGAGAAAAACGATTCATACCCATCAGCTATCGCCAAATCCGCTGTCAATTCCTGCCTTCTCAGTTTCGTCTCCTAGATTCAAACCCGAGTATAACTATTCTTATGGATTCATCGACGAAACCGAAAAAAGGATTGAAACCGAAAAAAGGATTGAAATTTCAAACAACAATCGACTGGGCATTGAAGTAAAACCTGGAAGCAGATGATATCGGCGTCGAACGACTCGAGGAGTTTGAGAAGAGAATCAAACTGTGAAACCCGTTGCCTAAGGCCATTAACGTTGTAAGTCACTATCTTCATCTTCTCCTTCTTCCTCTGCAGTTCACAAAGATCGTTCCTTTAGGTAAATTTGGATATTTGTAACGTTGGACGGTTGAGATCTGAGAAGACTAAAGTCAGTAGAATCGACGGTCGATACGTGGAGAAGTAGTTTGTAACCAGCCGTGGCATATAAAAGTGGCTCGTGGGGAGCACAAGTTATTGATTTGCCTCGTCGGCGTCCACCACCACCATTATCGCCGGATTTTTATATACTCACGTAGAAGAAGAAGAAGAGGAGAAGACGAAACCAACTTCTACTTCTTCTCTGTGGCACTCTCTTTATCTTTCTTGGAGTTTAGTTAACGTTGCAAATGGATCAAGCTAAGGAACCGAAAAATTGCCCTGAATACGATTTTGCTGATGATTCCTCTGCTTCTTCTTCGTCTTCTTCGGGACATAATCTCAGGTTTTAGTGTTTAAAAATGTAAACTTTATGGCTGTGTCATGTTTATTCATAGTTTGGTCTAATTACAGAGCTGAGATGGTGGTGGAAGTGAAGAAGGAAGCAGTTTGTTCCCGGAAAGCAGAGAGAGAGAAGCTTCGTAGAGATAAGCTCAAGGAACAGTTTCTTGAGCTTGGAAAGGCACTAGGTAATATATCTATTTCACTAGATGAATACATATTTTCAATTTTTCTCTATAATTTGAGTTAAGAGTAATGGTTTGTTTCTGCAGATCCAAATAGGCCTAAGAGTGACAAAGTTTCAGTTCTCACTGATACAATACAAATGCTGAAGGATGTAATGAACCAAGTTGATAGACTAAAAGCTGAGTATGCAACACTATCTCAAGAGTCTCGTGAGGTGATTTGATTAACTTGTCTATTCTCATATTGGAGTTTTAGTTGTGTGCGCTCTTGCTCATCTTCCACTTTGTTTGCTCAGCTAATTAAAGAGAAGAGTGAGCTGAGAGAGGAAAAAGCGACTTTAAAGTCCGATATCGAGATTCTTAATGCTCAATATCAGCAAAGAATCAGAACCATGGTCCCATGGATACCTCATTACACTTATCCTATCCCCGTAGTAGCCATAACTCAGGGTCAGTCCAGTTTTATACCTTATTCAGCCTCGGTCAATCCTCTAATCGGACAACAAGCATTGGTTCAGCAACATTCTTCTTCTTCCGGTGCTTCAAACAAACAAGATTTCAAAATCAAGCCTTTAGATTTGGATCTGATGATGAACAGTAACCATTCTGGTAAAGGAAATGATCATAAAGATGATGTTGGTTTAAAGCTTGAGCTTAAAATCCATGCCTCTTCTTTAGCTCAACAGGTGAGTGATTTCTTCAATAGTTTTTCCAACAAGCTCTATCTGTGTTGTTACTATGTATATATTTCATCATGGACTAACCAAAGTTTACTTCCATGCAGGATGTTTCTGGAAAAGAGAAGAAAGGAAGCTTGACAACCATTGCAAGCTCATCGAATAGTTACTCATCATCTCAAGCTGTTCAAGATAGTTCCCCGGGTACCGTAAATGACATTTTGAAGTCATAAACTGATAAATGTATTCCCCTAAGCCTTGTGTTTAATACCATGATTGAGAAAGGTACTCAATATATAACCCCACCAGATACTAAACTTGTTGTAGATTATCCCCATGATTAACTATGTATTATTATCACAAGCAAATAAAACACAAAAGCATTTGCTCTTTGCAACTGAACTACTGTCTATGACCAATGTTATAAGACGTGAGACACATTTCCTAACTTACGACCAGATGGGTGTTCTCAGTATCCTTTATACAATTCCACTAGCCTCTATACCATTTTCTTGATCTGAGAGCGACAAGTGACACATAATGTGTTGTGTACATGGGGGAGATCAGAGTTTGTGGACTTGGTGATTTGTGAAGTAATTTACATCTTTTGTGAAAGCTGGTAACCAGGAGGGCTTTTAACATTTCTTGACTTGAGGCTTGCACTTCTCAAAAGTCTGCGAAACTCATTGATGCTGATTCTCCCATCTTTATCAACGTCGGCTTCTTCAAGAAGTGGTTCGATGGAGCCTTTCAAACCCGTTTGCTGCAAACATTTATTCTCAGAAAACAAGGTAGACAAAGAGGGGAATGTATAAAGCAATAAGACTGACCAATCTAAGTTCCTCAGGAGTTATAAACCCATCTCCGTCTATGTCAAACTTGTCAAATGCTGCTCTTGACCTCTGTTGCCACTTCTCTGAGTCATGCTCCTCCAATTGGTTCACGTGCAAAGCAGCCACCACAAACTCAGTGAAATCCACCAATCCATCAGTGTTGCTATCAATCTGCAACGACACAGACACATTTTGGATGATACACTAACCTGTGGAAGAGGCTTTAGTCCTAATACTCAGTTTACCTACCGCTTGAAGAATCTCTGCAACTCTTGCATCCTTCAGTTTCCAAGGAACATCTTTCGCAAGAGCCTGTTAATATTAGAAAGTTAACAAACTCTGTTGCAGTCATGCAGTGAAATCGCTTACTTGTGTTGTCTTCTTCTTACCTGCCTCATCTCCTCAAGGCTTATCGAACCGTTCTTGTCAATGTCAATCGCACCAAACTGGTCTCTGAGATCATCCAGCTCATCCTCATCAATTGTTGTCGCCAGAGCCTTCAAAAACACAACAACTCAGGTAAGAAAAAACTCAAAAACTATCATATGAAATACAATCTCTCTCTCTCTCTCTTTCTTGATTACCCTCAGAGCAATCTGCTTAAGGCGGCTGAATTTCACAAACTGACGCATATTGTTAAGAACCGATATGTCTATTGGAACCTCTGAGGCCTCACCTCCTTCTTTCACCCATGGATGTGCTACAAACCAAATCCACAAGTTAAGTAAAATATAGCCAAAAAAGAGTGGAAATATATGGCATTTGCATATGAAGAATCACACACATAGCGCTTGAGCTGCTGTTAACCGTGCCCGCGGCTCCTTAACTAACAGCTTCTTCACGAAATCTTTGGCACCGTTGCTGATGGTTGGCCATGGGACTTCTCTGAAATCAGGTTTTTTTCTCATCACCTGTTTTTCATGTCAGTATCCATGAACAAACACGTTATAGATTGGATATTTTTTTATTTTGTCTGTTTTCTCAAGAAGAGTACTAGACCTCATTGAATATTCCGTCTTGAGTCTTATCCCAGAAGGGTCTTCTCCCGCAGAGAAGAATGTAAGTGATGACACCAATACTCCAAACGTCTGATTCAGGTCCTGACCTACGTTTCAACACTTCAGGCGCGACGTAGTACGCGCTTCCTACTATATCCTGAAATTTCATTCCTGCCATTTTGACAAAATCACCTCCATTATCTATCATTCTGCTCTCAGAGACAAGTGAAAACATTTGAAACATTTACCTGGCTTTATGAAGTCTGACAAACCAAAATCTGTAGCCTTTAGAGACGAACCTTCTTCGGTTGATTTGAACAGAAAATTCTGAGAGGGTAAGGGATAACTCTGTTTAGAGTGATGAAGATTTCTTTAACATATGGATTTGCAATTTCCAAGCATCGAATCAAACTGGACCGTACCTACCTCTGGCTTCATGTCGCGGTGCACTAGACCTCGTAAATGACACTCAGCTGCAACTTTCAGCATTTGTCTCACCACAACCGCTGCATCTTTCTCGGTGTAACGGCTATCTTTCCTATATACATATACACATAAAAATTGACTTGATGTAACTTCTCATCTTTTCCTACAGAGTTTTAACATTATTTTTCTGTTAACACAAACTACTGTTACTCTTACTTAGCTAGTATTCGATCTAGCAATTCACCACCTTCACATAACCTGGAAAAAGACAAAACACATCAAAACTAGAGTAAATTCATTTTTTCTTGTGAAACAAGAAAAAGGATGATAATAAAAACAGAGGCTTACTCCATGACTATGTAAATATAGTTGTTGTCCTCAAATGCATTGTGAAAGCCAACCACATTCTCATGCCCACCTAAAGCTTGTAGTATCTTCACCTCTCGCTTCACATCTTCCACTTCAATCGGTTGAGTCATCTATACCACACCAAAAAACCCATGGAATTAGGCATTACTCCACCGCTTTCGCAATTAGAAACTGTAGAGTTTTGAAAGTTACCCTAATGCAACTTACTTGGTTTTCAAGCAATCACATTCGTTACAGGTTGGATTTTTAGGTTTACTAATAGAAATGGAACTTTTTCGAATCAAATTGATGATGTTTTTTTTTTACCTTGGCCTTCTCGATTCTCTTGACTGCGACGCAATTGCCATTGTTGTTATCGGTGGCGACGTAGGTAAAGCCAAACTGGCCGTGTCCGAGCAATTTCCCGATGGTGTATCGATTATCGAAATCCTTAGCGTAACCAAAATCGATGCGCTTGCCGTACGGGATCCCTCCTCCGTGCCTCCATTGGATCTTGTTCTTGCTCTTCTTCGTCTTCTTCTTGTTTTTATTACTAGCATTCTCACTTGCCTTCCCCTGCGTCGGAGAATGAAGATTAGGGTTCCGGCGACTGGTGCCACGTCTGGTGGCTTTAGGAGAAGAGAAACAGAGACCCATGTGATGATCTTCGGGTCTCTAATGGAGGAGATTTTCACAGAAATGCCAGATTGCAAAGGAGCGAGATGTTGAGAAGATTTCGAGACATGGAAGGAGGAGGAAGAAGCAAGGTTTGTGGCTTTGTGCCATTAACAAGAAGAACAGATCTTTTAAAAATTTTCTCTCATTTTAACAACATTTCTTTATTAACAAGATTGACATATCATATTTGTCACACTTTTTTTTTTTTTGACAGATAATTGTTTTTTCATAGACAAACTATCTTCAAAGCTTGTACCACACGAAAATGAACCACTATTTCGAAAGTTATTAGCTTTGGCCATTCATTTCGGTTATTACCATTTAAACTTGTGAGTTGTTGACATGTTGTGTAGAGGAAACTTCCACTTTTTTACTTGAAAGATGACATGTTCCGATACAAATCATCCAAAAACAAACAAAAAAAAACCTAAAGAGTTTTGAACACATAAGGTTAACTATTTACAAACCTAACCAATTCAAACTCAGATTCTACGCCAAAATGGTTAAAAGTTTCCTTCAAAGTGAGTTAGAACCAAGGATGCCATGTTGGATCCATCATACATAGGTTGCGAGGTGACAAAGCTGCCTCCACCAATTCATTCACACCTCTTTGTACAGACTGTGGCGGCTCCACCGAGTTCTCATCCTGTAATGAACAACACGAAAATATCAGATTCATCAGTTCAGAAAATGGACAAGACCCTTTCTGAGTTTTCTGAGAATGTTAGTAGCATCAAAAACTCGGTGGAGATGTAAATGATGATTGTACCTCTTCAGAGAAATACTGTGGCGCTATTCCTCTGATTCGTCCAATGACATCATCCACGTTTGAGTTAACTTTGTGCTTCAGCTCGGCTGAACTCAAAGAAGCAATTCCTGCAGCAGGAGGAATAGGCACTCCGAGAGGTCTTCTTCCAAACCATGACAGTAGCTCATCGCGAAAGAACATGGCTAATTGATACCGAAGATGTTCGTTTTGCTGAAAAATCGCAAAAGAGAAGAAGAGGTTAGAGGCAAAATGATTTTGAGTGCCCCACTCGAGCTTAGGTAATATTTTTTATTACCTTGGAGGAAAAAACTGCTTGAGATGCGGAACACATGTTTGACATGAGAGGACCTTCAACACCAAAATGAGAGAGAAATGATTGCATGTTCCTTGTGAGGCGGAAAGGCACAGGTTCATTGAGCTCGATCATCCCATTGGAATCGTAAGATGGATGAAAGTCTGTCTGGAACATTTTTCCGGAATTTTTGGCGAACAAGATCTTGTTTGGGGATCTCCCACCAATTTGAAGAATGAAGGACATGAAATTGGAGACAGCTAGCTGGACAGCGAATTGCTTCTTGAAAGCCCAAAGATGACTTCCGCTCATTGATGTCTTGTACATGTACTGAGAGAATATAGTGTCATTGACTATGTTCTTTGTGATTTCACCATAAGCCTGTAGCCGAAGATCTCCAATTGCTTCTGGTGAGATTTGCCCTGTGATAGCTTGATTGAGTTTCTCCTTGAAGTAGGTAATAGGAAGATCTGACTCTCGACCATTCCTTCCACAGTGATTCTCATACACCTCAAGGAAAGTGTTGTACATGAGATCATCCTCAACCATTCGGACCTGAGACGGAAAATATTAGCATGCCATACTCCTTGAGAGATTTACCTACTCTTATTATGGAAAGCCAAAAGAAGAACTAAGTTGAATATGTGAAGTTTCAGAGCAATCAACAACGGAAAGGGGAACTACGCTGATATTTTCAGGCATACCTGAGACCAGACAGGGATTATGATCGGAGTGTGAAGTCCTAAATGGCGTCTTCTCGACTCTTTATGCTTGTCAAACATTTGATTCATCACACGGAAAAGCTGCAAGATTCGTTCATCACTCCTCGCATTAGGAGTTAATGATGTTTGAACAATAAAATGCTTTTGCGAGCCATCAGAGCCAATAAGAGTCAAACGTCTGCAGCTGCTCCCATGCCTTCGTACAATTTGTATGTCTGCTCCAATCCTATCCAACTTTACTGTATGATCAGGTGCAACTTCCTACGCAGTCAAACATATGGTTACTTCATAACCCAGCACAAAGAGAAAAGAAAAGAATGACGGGCAAAACTTATATAATTTACAGCCCCTCTAGAGAATGTAAACGTTGTAGGTAAACAAGAGACGAGGATAAACAATCCAATATACCTGGTCAGCAAAGTACTGTCCTGGTATCTCCACATCAACAACATTGAAGTCGCGCAGCACCTTGCTCTCGTCTTCCAATCTCAACAGAACGGGGAACCTGTCTTCAACATTGCTCTGAAGAATGTTTTTCCAGTCTTTCAGTTTCTTTGTCAGATCTGCGAGTGTGACAGGGAATGAATTACTTTCTGGATCAAGGTCACGCTCGAAATCCTGTTTGTATTCTCTCACAAATGCGACATGCTTGGTCACGGCATCTGCAGAAAAACAAGCTCTGCAGACGCCCGAGAGTTCTTTCTTGAGCGGTTGGGGAACTTCAGCAGTGGTGGCAGTTGGATATTTGTAACATCGATGCAACAAAGCATTCACAACTGCGAGAAGTCTTTCTTCTGGTAAAGTAACAAACCTCGAACCTATTTCTGTGAGAAGAACCTGAGAGGAATTATACAAAATTAGATTATCCAAAGAAAGTAAGGAATGTGCAATTAAGACCATCTCCAATGTATTTCCCTATTTTTAGCTCTATCTCTATAATAGAGGTAAGTTTTCTCTATTTTTACTCCAATGTGTTCCTCTATTTTTTCCTCTAAAAAGTTTAACTCTATTTATAGAGGAAAAAATAGAGATTCTCTATTCTCACCTCTATATATAGAGAAAAAAATAGAGATCTCTATTTTAGAGGTGAGAATAGAGGTGAGTTGGAGCAAATTTGCCTCTAAAATAGAGTTTAGAGACAAATATAGAGGTGGGTTGGAGATGCTCTAAGTCAAAATGTGAATCCAAGCTACTTGTACCAGACAGTAGTTTTCATTCTCTTTTTTTTTTGGATTTATCTATACCATGAAATTTTTTGTATGGAGAGAATGTAAAGAAATCAATCAGTATATTCACCAACAGAATACTACCTCAAGTTCACTGGCCAAGTTGTTATGTTTACTCCTAAGAGATTCCATAACATCCTTTGCAGCATCAAAAGCACCAGCAGCAGAGATTGCCAAGGAAGCACCATTCCGTAATGCAGCGTGTTGACTATTTTCACTGATAGTTGAACTGCTTTGGTTCATAGGCTGATCATTCCCTGAATGCACATTGTTTTCCATAGTGGCACGTTCACTTTCTTGTGCATGTAGATTACCACCATCATGGGTTCCAACAGCCCCACTAGTTTCATGACCCGCACTAACACCAGGAACATTCTGCTGCATCCTTTGAGCCAAAACTACTCTGCTAAGCTCAGATTTATTTACTGCATCACGGCGTTCCAGTAAGTATGTGCGAAGCCAGTAATAGAGAGCCTGAAAGGGAAAACAATCTCATACTCATGAAATGGCCAAAAACAAGTTCATCTACAAAATTACTAAAAGGAATTTACCTGAGGGAATACTGCAGCAATTTTCATCAGAACCAATTTGCAATGGGGTGCTTCTGTTCGCTGCAAGGAAATCAACAGCTGTGGGATCCAAGAAAGCCATACCCAGTGAGGTACTTGGTCCAAGTGTTTATCAAATATTCTACCAACAGGCTCATTTGTCGTATCGAAACTAAGAAGATAAAGAACACGAGCCATGTGACTTCTGGAATTGGAAACTCCAAATCTTATACACTGAAGAAAGCAACTAACAGCATATTCTAGCCAGATTTCATCTTGTGTATCTTGGTATGCCTGCAAAACGAAAGTAAAATATAATGTCTAATATGAGGAGAGAGAGACTGTTAATAGCGCAGGAAAAGAAGCAGAGCATCTAATCAGAAGAAATACCATGTCACAGTAATTTCCCCAGCTTATCCATCCTTTGGGTAAATTCTTGAATAGGGTGATTGCGTTGGAATATGCAATATTAGCACCTTCAGTGTCGTTTAGCTTCAAATGAAAATCCCCCTTTAGTCGAAATATCTCTGCCTTGTTCTTCGCTAGAAAAAACTCCAAATTTGTGCTATTAACCAGATTAAGACCAGTAGCAAGCTCTCCTTTCGTTTCCAGATGAGCTTTTGCTTGCTCTTTAATTTTAACAAAGGCTTCCTGCATACACAAACGTGACCAAGAAAACTTTAAAAATAACAATATTTCAAGCTCAAACAAACACAGATTCAGGGAACGAAAACTTATTATATAGGATCATGGCAAAGAATGAGGTGGCATACATGGCTTCAAATATCACACACATGTTAATGGGTGGATTAACAGCTACGCCAAGAAATATTTTAACAAACTAGGGAACGTTAAAAAAAAAAAAACGAACAAAAGAAAGCAAATTAATGTGAAAGCAGTTCTTTATAGAATCCTGCAATTAAATGAACTCTGCTCAAATTATAATAAAGTTAAAGGTCTATGAGAACTGTACCTGTACTTCCATTTGTGAGTGCCCATACATTTTTTCAAGTATCTGAACGCAAACATCATAAAGCCCTTGTTTCCGAGCTATTCTAGCAAGCTTATTGACGTTCCACGCTTTGTCACGATAACCGAGGTGGTGAAGTGGAGTATTTGAAGTTATAAAGTCCTTAAATGCATCAATAACAACGTTATACATTTCATTCCTCCACTGCAGCATATCATACCAGACGGTCATATTGTCCCATTCATTTGGAGTCCTCAGCCTCCAAGTCTCAAGAATGTCCTTCAGATCTGCATATAGATTTCCCTGTCCCCCAACAGCAGCATTTCCAGGAACTTTACTCCCATTTGCGATGTCAACATAAATTCTAGAAGACTCTTGCACCTCCACTAGTTGTTGGAATTGCTGCAGTAGAGGCACCCTAGCCTGAAGAGACATTTCCGGTAACTGCCACCACTGTTCCAAGGCAAGATCAACGCCTTTCCCAACTATGT